GCATTCTGCTGTGCAGCCAAACCACCAACCGGCGCTGCATTCACGTCTTCCATGTCGACATTACCGTCATCATCAATACCGCCATTTACCGGTATTTCAACATTAATCAAGGGAACATGCCCTACGTTAACCGCCTGCGTATGCCGCCTATCTTGCGACTGATGCCTAACACGAGACGCTGCCGAACGAGGCTGATCTGATCTCGGTTCGTTTAACTGACCACTGTCATTACGCGAAACTGAGGGAACTCGGAGAGAGCTTTCACCCCCGCAAACTTGATTGCTGCTGCTACCGCCTAAATTTCCTGCGTGAAACTGACTACTTCCGCTAGCATAATTATTCACGTTACCGCTCGGTACAAAACCCTGAGACTGACCTGACATCTGTGCAATATTACTATAAGCCGGTGGCTGATTAAAAGCCACATTACCCGTACCTACACGAACTTCAGGTTCAAAATTCCACTCTCTTACATGCGAAATCTGATTACCTTTCAATTCTTCTGCTTCAACTCGCAATTTTTCCATACGCTGCATTAAATCAAGAATTTCGGAATCTTTACCGTCAATTCTAACACCAACTGAATGAATTAATTTCTCTTTCTCTTCAAGCGTTGCATTAAGTTTGCGTTCTCTGCTCAGAGCTGATTTCAAATCTTTTTCCGCGACTAATTTCGCATTACGTTCCAAGTTACAATTAACTTTTTACTGCTCAATTTCCAAAAGCAATTTCTTCTCATTTTCTTTGAAAACAGCTAAAGCCTGCAAATTACTCGAACCAAGCGATTTTGACGCTTCTGCCTTAACTTTCTGCAAATGTTCATTTACTGACCGCAACTGAGCACTAAGCTCCTGATTTTCCAAAATTAATTTCGACGACTGAGAATCTTCCTCCTCAAGATCGCGAATACGTTTTTCATTCACCTGACACTTACTCGAAAGTGCACGAACATTTTTCTCATGTTCTGCATTACTTGCCTGAACTGCCGTTAATTGCTGCCTTAGAGCCGAAATATCACCGTGTAATTTATTTTTCAATTTATCATCTTTAGACAAAATTTCATTCAACCGATTAATCTCATCGCTATTTTGCAGTTGCCTAAGACACAATGCAACATAATTTTTCGTACACCGAATCATAGTACCCAATGAATCACGAGTGACTGCTAATGCCTCTTGCTCCGATTTTGAAGCTTTCAACTTAGCGTCAACCTCACTTACTTCTTGCGCAAATTCCTGATTTAAAGGATCAAAATCATTTTCAAAAATGAAATGCCGCAAATCTGACTGAAGAGGATGCGAAAGGTTATTCACATTTTCATCGAAAGGAATTTCTTCATCCAACAATGACTTTTCACAATTAAACGCCGTATTATTTTCATCATCTGAATTTTCAAAAAAAGGAGTTCCTTCTCTCATCGTAATATTACCAAGGAAATTACTGCTAACCGTATTATTATTCTGATCATTGCTCATAGCGATCACGCGTTCATCGCTTACTTGAGCCGCTGCACTACGTTCTCTCGCCATATTGGACGGAGTCACGAAATTCCCTACCGCTACTGAATTCAAATTTTCAACCGCATTTCCAACTACTTCTGCATTCCGCACATTTACCGACTGCCCTACTGAATGTGGATTTACCAGTTGCGACATCATCGATCTCCTCGGATCCACCACTTGATCTGGATTTACCACTGACGGAGTTACCTGTTTCCCAGGATTAACCGTACCAACTGACTGACTTGACATCAACTGCATACTAGACAGAGTCATGCCATTTTTCTGTGCACTCGAAGCCGAACTATCTTCCAAGTCCAAGAACGACTCACTTACCGCATTCCCAGAATTTTCAATAATTACCGAGGCATTTAACTGCCCATCTGACATAACTATGGTATCCCGAGATTTCTAACCAGTACCTGACTCCTTTCTTTGCTGAACTTCTGCCTCGTACGCAGTGACATTCAAGGTCGCCCATTCTTTCGCTGCTTTAAACTCTGCTTCTGACATATTCAAATAAGCTGACGGGATAGACCGTTCGTGCGAGAACCAAGTGCTATAGTAACTCGGAGCTCTTACCAACGTTGAATTTTTGTCCTCCCAGTCAACCCATTGTTGACTGCAGTACGCGCTCTTTTTCTCCGGAGGTTCTAACCCTACTGCCCTATACATTAAGCCAAGGGGAACTTTCTTCGGAAACTGAAAACGAGTGTCAAACCCGCTTTCAACAGCTTTCGACTGCAATCTATCTGATTCAACTTTTCTCAATGGCCAAAAGCCATCTCGTTTCACAGTTAATTCTGCTGATTCTGACATTTTGTTTGCAATGCAACCGCGACTAACCTTACCAATTAAGAACTGGATTCAGAAAGTGAAAGTTACACTGTTCCCGTTGATTGATGAATCAACCAACTCGTATGACCCACGGCTCTTGACAGAAATACACGTACGCTACTCAAAGCTGTGACTCCTGACAACACCGTTTCGTTAGGACGAGGCTGACTCAATACCAACCTCCGCGGTACCGAAACAACACGTCCGAAAATCTCGTTGTTACAGCACGCACTCAAGCATGCGTAAACAACTCGTATTTATCTCGTTGCTACAACACGCACTCAAGCATGTGTAAACAACTCGTATTTACAGCTGACCTTTAAGGTTTCAACTGCGAATTATATTTAACCGCTAGTTACAACACTGTGACTGATTTCCAGTTAACAGTGACACTGCGTTTCACAACAAGAGACAGCTATATCTGCTCTGTTGATTACCGAAAATTTTCAAAAATCGTAGTACGATGGCTACTCCGCTAACTCGGATACGCCATATTTACCAAAATTCAACATTTTTACGAAGATTCAATATTAAAGAACGGCTAAAATAGGTTGCGAATATTCGCACGTTTGACTTACAATTTCCAATCAGCTGATTCTGCTGGTTCTGCCGTTCAAATTCACGTAGTCGTTCTGGCTTGCCCGGTTCAGAAAAGAAAATAAAATAAAAGGAAATTTTGACCTCGAATGGTCTTACGGTGCTTTTTTAATCATAGACACGTAAAGTGCCGCATACACGAACAGTTTTCAAGTGCCTATACTGTTCTCAGTCCGTATTGTCACCCAAAATATATATCGCTAAGTGCGAATCAATCTATACATCAATCAAACCGGGGGACTCGGTTACCCTAGGTCAGTACTGGAACGCAGACCTCCTGCACCACACTAGTGGCTCCTAACGGACTTTCTTAATTGTGGGCTCTCTCGAGTTGACCACCAACCATCCTGCACCATCAATTTAATTGTATTATCAAATTAAATTAAACTTTCTGCTCCATCGGGAAAGTTTGAACCACGGTGGGCGCCATGTCGTGCAATAGAGAATGTAAATGTAAAGCCGTGTGCGGTGGAAATATGCTCTTCCCAAACCACGACCTGTCGGGGGAATAGAGCGACTCTTAATCTCAACTTCTTATGTATTTCATGGAGCGAAAGGTTAAGGATGTTGATGTACAAGTATGAGATGATATGCAAGGATGAAGAAGAGGATCTGGAACTCGAAGCCTGCTGAAAGAGAAGACACGAAAGGAAACACAAGGGATGCGTGAAGTTATATGTTACCTGTCCGACGCTAGATGGTAGCCGAAGCGTATGAGCATGACAAATCCATCAACCTGGCGCTACAGGGCATGAAGATCGAATGGACCGAAAAGGTCAAGGCGAACAAGTGGGATCAAGTGGGTAACCTGTTACGTCACGAGACTATCCGAAGATGATAATGCACGTCGACGAAGTAGAGGAATGACCCCTGACAATAGGTGAAAGGTCACCCAGAGGTCAGTTTGAACAGCCTCACTTGGAAAGAGAAGACCAGAGCAAAAGCCTGAAGTTAATCAGATCGAGTAACAAGACTCTACTTTTGTTGGGATTACAACTCTTGACATTTGTGTGGGCGACGAGCGCCTTATATAGCCCTGGGCACCGCAAGTGCTGGCTCTTCGTACGCGCAGGTACGGGTCTGAGAACAATAGGGATTTAGAATCTAACCAATAAGAGACATCTGAGGACACGTGGACTAATCACACCGCTGCATCACTACACGTGGACTAATGAGAACATCAGGTCAACTAATACACTAGAACAATAGGTTGAGCTACGTCATCGAAGCGCGGTCACGTCGAAATGGCAAGTCGCGGTCAAAGTTCTCTGCTGGGGATTTCTGAGAAGTCGAAGTAGAGACTCGGGGTCAGGACTCGCGTAGAAGATGTAGTAAAGCCTAAGCCTTAGTTGTAGGGGTAGAAGTAGTAAAGTAGTACCGATGTGTACTAAGGGACGCCAGTACACGTCAGTTCCCTCCGGATGCGTATGGCAGATCGGACGTAACTGCGCCGAGGCGAACCAACAAAAACCTATAAACTTAGAAAGTGAATAATTGTAATTGCGCTGGGATTGTCTGCACTTAAAATGTTAGCCAGAACCAGCCAAAGAACTGTCTACAAAGGCTGCGAAGCGGATTTATAACTTAATAATTACTTTTACGTGAGATTTTTGGTACCAATCCCCCAGGTCAATAAACTTCAAATGCCACCGGCATGACAAACTATATTTACGGTTTATTAGAATTTTTTCCAACTTACCTGTAACACCCGCATAATATTTCCGCGTTGAAGTAAATCCCCCAAAAAAGGATTCTGTTTTACACGCATTTATGGCTGCTTACCTGTGACGTATACGAACGCAGTCAACTGCTCCCGCATCTATAGAACTGCTTCCACGAAAATATTACAACTTTTACGTTAAAATGATTAATGTTTGTTATGCGAGCTTCACTCAGCTTCAGCAGCTAGCTTTTTTTACCGGCTAAACGCTGACTAAAGGACCAAATTACCGGTAACGCACAACCGTGTTCCCCGAGGCAAGTTTGTGCCGTGGTGTGGTTGTGATCGCAAAAAACGCGTGCACGGAAATTTGTACCGCTGCCTGAACTTTCTTGCTCGTGGATATCGGCTGAGCTGCGCGTGCGTCTAATTAGCGCTACAGATCTGAATCTGCGGACCCATTAAACGAAATTCTGTGTAATTTGTTTTTACATTATCCTATCGCTGGCATTTACCGTAGCCATGGGAATCAGAAGTGGACTTGTTCTGGCTTGTTCACTCGGGATGTTCTGTGTCTTAAGAACTACTACGGCGTTTTATTACAATCTATGTAGGTGGTAAGGTTTATCTATCTTAACTGGAGCATTTACGCAATACCAAATGAAAAACCTTTATTAATAAGCTACGAAACTTTTGTGTATGGCACGTTTCGGTTCTGCCATTTCATTTCATTGGTTTTGCCATTTAATCTTGCATGGCATGCGTTCTATAATGCACTTTAATTCGTATCTATCTGTACTCAAAGTATCCCAATAACGTTACGACTAAAAAAGTGCGGATATTTCCACACAAATTAACTGCTCTTACTAATTAGCAACTCGTAATACAATTCTATTTTGAAAGGTTCAAATTAGTACTTTTATTGTATTAGCTGCGCTTGCGTAGTCAGCGCCGTCAGGTAAAAGAATGAAAGAGATGAGTTTAGTCACCGGCGAGATAAACTTTGACTTGGATTATCTGTACAGATTCCGATATGGAGACAAGATGCAATCAAAGTGTGGTGCTAGACTGTCCATACCTCATCAGTGGCCGAGCCGGTACAATCCGCTATCAGAACATCCCGGTCCTCTCGAGAGAATCCTGCTGGTTTACTCTTACACTGGATTCCAGCTGCGGAAAGCCGCAAATGTCTTTTGCATTTTATTTCAACGTAAGGTATGTGCGTGTTCGTGTAGGAATCAAGGCAAAAACGACGCTGATTTTGCATCTGCTTTCCGCTGATGACGCTCTTCTCTACCTTTTACAGAAAATTTAATCTCCCCTATCCAGATGCCTTGCGTATATATGAAAACTGGAATGGATTCCGCGGCCTGGTTATGCAGCTGGCAGACAGCATGCCTCAATATCGCAATCCTTCGTCTGTCGCTCAGGCACTGACCGCATACGTTAAACAGCCTTCCGTCACCTTTGAGTATATGCGCAGAGCGTCGTATTCCTCTTCTGTGCACGAGGTCATCGTCGACTTTGTTATTGTGGAAGGTATAACGTCTGCATTGCTCCTTTTCGGTGCATTCCTTAACTTTGTTTTTTTCTGATATTTTATTTTGCTTCGCCAGACACGTCTCATTCTCGTAATACCTTCTGCGGAGCGCTGCAAGGCTATGTCAACGATAACTTTATCTGTGATAATGATGGGATAAATGATCGTGTCAACTGTCCGCTAACTTATGCGGCCAGTGTGGATGGGAACAATCCGGCTCGGGGGACACAGTGTTTACGTGAAGCAACTACGAGTATCTTTAACGACAGGAATAACAACCTGAACCAGGGTACGCAACGAAATAATAAATTATAGTTATGTTTAATTGCACTTTTCGGCAGCGTGCAGGTAATCAGCTGTTTTCTAATAACGTCTTTCTAATAACGTCTTCTGTGCGCCAGCGTTGCATAGTTTGAAATTGTACCCACGGTCACTTCAAATAAAACTTAATTGTAAGACAGGATTACTATGTTTCAATGGTTGTGTTTTGTAGGCAGTAGCGCCACTGGCCTGAACTCCGGGGCAATTAGTGGAATATCTGTGGGGGTCGCTATAGTCGTATTTTTCACCATTCTCGCTGGCATTATTTACCTTGTCCGCTCACGCGGACGACGCACACCCCTTCATTCTTTTACGACGACGACTCCCAGAAACGCTAACACTAGTCAGCCGGTTTCTGGGACCCACGATGCACCTTTTGCTCCCTCTCCGCCTTTCACGGATTTGCCACCGTCATATGCGGAAGCCGTGGGATCCGTGGAACATGCTACGTCTGCAATACCGCCAACACCAACACCTCGGACACCGTAAAAGTAAACCGCTACCTTGCAGAGATTTTCCTGCCAGAAAAGCCTGTGATATTTTTCTTATTTGGTATTCGCAATTTTGCGCGTTCAACCTGAGTGCAGCTGAGGATGATGCCTCGAGTACCACTGGAAAGCGCTCAAGTGTGCTTTTCGTGTAGAACCCGATATTGATGTCGCGGTCCATGAACAAATGAGATTACTTCGAGTATGTTTCCAAAACCGGCAGTCACATTGCTTCGACGATTGCACATACAGAGCACAGAATCAATCATTCTTCTGGACTCTAGAGATTCCTACGATATTTACTTGCCATTGTGAATCTGTGATCAAAACCGCGGAGCGACGCGCAAATCAAAAAGCCGAATTTTTAGTTATGAGAACCCAGTACAGCTCATTGTCTTTTACGTATACGTGGATAAATCAACGTTATTATTCTTATCGAGGCGAGAGTTCCACTCGGCAGTGCCGAGAGGCCGCTCACTGGGTTCCCACGTGATTGTGCTACAGCCTACATTCAGTACTTGGCTAAAGGTGGTGTCTCAGGCGAAATTTTCCGGTTTCATGCCGAATAAGCCTCGTGCAAACAGCAGTCAAAATTTCGGGTGATGCGTGTGCAACTTTATCCTTTCAAATGCCACAGGCAACAGACTTGCGGACAATGTATGTGTTTCGGTTATCATCGTTTTAGGGAAATCGCGGCAGTATTGCAACATAGATTTGTCATAGAACAACGTGTGCATCATTTCTATTATAATAATCGCACTCAACAACAAAAAAGATAAACTTGTTTGCATAATTGTACTGATAGCTGCTGTAAGGATGTACACTGCTATTTTAGAAATGCACAAAACACAACGCTGATACGCTATCTAGTGCGAATTACAAACCAACCACAGATTTGCAGCATAGACAATTCTGCATGACAGTAGCTACCGAGAGATAAAAAGTGAATATTAAAATGATTTCAGCTCTGTTGATTTGTGCAGTCTACCACATTACATTACTACGCTACAAACGTGTGCGGAAACCATGGATTATGGAAGAGTCTTTCTTCGGGCCTTTGGACTGGGATTTCTCTGTTTAACCATAAGTTCAACGGCCCAGCATTATCAGTGTAAGCAAGAGCGGGCAGGTATAGTAGATCAGTAATTCAAGAGAGTTTAGCAAATAATGAGCCGATAATTACGTAGCCGTCCATCTCGATAATCTGTCCTACCTAGACTTGGTGGTTTGGCGTAATTAAAATTTGTTAACAGTGGTTCAAGTTTTACGAGCCTCGATTGGGTAAACTGAAGTCGGTAAAGTGGAACTGGAATTTCCTGCTCCATGCAGCAGGATCTGGCTACATGAGCTTTCTTTCTTTGAACTGCAGATTTCGATTTGAGATATTCGTGCAATGATCGAGTGACAATAGTGTCCTTATCCTGAAACCGGGAGAGCCGGTACATTCCAGTATTACTATATCGGTAGGCTGCCGCCCGGAAGGTGCTCCTTCAATATCACGCTGGCTCCCAACTGCGGACGCCAGGAAGAGCGGTTTGCGATTTATTTAAATATCCGGTACTGGATCAGTGATCACTCGAAAAGATTCGCTTATTTTATAGGAGGTTTAGTTGTTCGTAGTCCGTCAAATGACTATATATGTCTTTGTCCGTAAAATAAATTTGTCTCATATTTCGCCCCTTTGGTTTCATATTGCGCTCACCACTCACCAGGTGTCAAAATTTCCTAACAGAAGGAAATTCGCAGGAATGATTTCTGATCATGTATAAGCTTGCTCATAAATTTCTGAAATACTCATTAATAAAGTTCCACAAAAACTGACTTTAATGATGAGCAAATAAAAATCACATTAGAATAGTAATTATGTTGATCTGTCAGCATTTATTCATGTAGCGCGCCCGGTTTCGTCGGTGACAGGTGACCGAAATATGAAACCAAGTAATTAAGTTAAGCGAATTAAGAGACAATTCGACATATACATACAGAGTACAAGTATTTTATCAGTTAGTGATACAGCGTATTTTATCAGTAAGTGACTCGATATTACTACGAATTTTTTCGTAAGGGGTTTGGATGAAATCCTTTTTTATGGTTTTTGTTAATTACCCAGGCTTAAAACGAGCGTTTTACAAGTTTTATTGGATCTTCCAAATGCTAAGAACAAGAATTTAGGTATTATTTAATCTCTGTAAAATGGAAGTTGATGCAACCAAGAAGGCATCGTTGCACTGGTTATTATTTTACGGAGATTTTACAGGTGCATGGAAGTTGATGCAACCAAGAAGGCATCGTTGCACTGGTTATTATTTTACGGAGATTTTACAGGTGCATGGAAGTTGATGCAACCAAGAAGACATCGTTGCACTGGTTATTATTTTACGGAGAGAAAAATGAGACCTTAATTTTGTTTTTGGCATTCCTGTTCTTAGCAGTGCATCGAACCGAAGAAACATCGTTTACACTTACCGGTATATTCTACGAAACTGATAGAAATTTCGTGCATCTTGCACTTTTGCATTGTATCAGTGGTATTTTCTGGGGTGTCAATTTGGTTTTACCACATTTTACAAGCCGTTTATATATTTTGGGGTGGGTCACCATAAGTTCGTAACGGTAAAGCATGGCGCTGGTATTTCGGGGAGGACTTCTACATCGGAGAGGGTCACTAACTGAGGCAATACGGTACGTAATACGGTACCGTATTACTGAGGCAATACGGTGCATTTCCGTTTACTGAATATTTGTAGAAAATTTGGCGTGCCAACAAACGACATTCTCCAATTTACGACACATCTGATGGATATAACATCCCTAAAAAGTTTTTAACCGGCAGTTACCCCACAAACTCAAACCCCCAATCGGTGGCACGTGATTTGGTACGCCAAACAACCATCCATCAGATTAGACTACATTCGCAGCACATCACCCGCCAACAATTACCAACAATTTTTGTAGAAAACCTGTATTCCATGTGGTTAATCATTAATAAAAATTACCATGACGCGCTCATCGATTTCGTTATCGTGGAAGGTAAATGAACACAAGCGTTTGTGTTATTACAGCCGACAAAAGCCAGTGATTGTGAAATGCTTTTGGGGGTTTTTATTCTAGATACGACCGGCTCACACAATACAGAATGCCGTGCGTTTTCGGGATACGTGAGCAATAATTTTACTTGTGATACGGACGGAACGACGGATCGTGTGAATTGTCCGTCCGAAACTGTTGTTTCTACACCAGACCCCAACCCGGCAACCGGGCGACAGTGCAGAAACCAGTCAACCACGCTGACATGGGCTTGGAATACAACGACCTTTCGACCAACCGTGACGGCCGCTGTAGCGAATACCACCACTTTTCGGCCGCCCACCACTAGTACGACTGCTCCAGCGGTAATCCCGTCTTATCTGGCTAATCCGTTGAACATCACCTGCCGTCTTGGACGAATCAACCTCCCGGAACCGGATCTGGATCTGGCGGACGCGGTGACGACCGTGTTTGACGGTGACAACACCCTCAATTGCCGCGTGATACTGCACGATCTGCATTCGTGGATTGTGGCGAAAACCGATGTGTCCCGACAGAAACGAGCATCGTTCTACGAACCCATTAAAGTAGAGTGTACACGGGGGAGCTTGACCGTATCGAATGTGGACCCCGGCACATCGGAATCAACGGGTTTTGTCTTCCGCACCGGTGCATCCAAAAACTGCATCGATACTTATAGAAAATTCTTGGACTATGTGACTGGTTTTGCGGGGAATCGGGTTGGGTAGTTTGTCGATGACCACGATTTGTCCAATGCAACATCCGTTCGGAGTGACAGTTATCAACACTTCGATGACTTCCACATTTGCTAACAACACCGGTCAACTGAAGTATTTATTTTAAACGTAATGTGATTTGTCCGTGATTCCTTCCTTTGGAGATTTGCAAATTTAAAATCACAGAATCCGTAAACATAACTTTTCCTTTGTAATTAATGTTACCGCTTCCGGAATCCACTGGGGGGTGCTGGAACCCCGGCTGCTGGGCGGCTGGTACTCTCGTGATCGGCTGTGTGCGGTGACCCTGGGTCAGCGAGAAGCCGGCCGACCGGGGGTCGGCGCAAGAGAGCGACCAGTGCCCTGCGCAACCGAAGGCTCCTTTATTGAGCAACGCGAAATAACAACAGCACAAACAGCAGGGTGTGGCGGGTGGTAAAGAACAAATCACTCGCGCGCACACGAACAAGAAATGCAAAGAACATTGGCCAGAAATGCAGAACACAACGCGGGCACAGAAACAGTGCCGAGAACAAAACGCAGGCGCGTGAGTGCCGGCGGCTGCTTTGATCTAAGCGGCCACAGCGACTCGCAGCGCCACCAGCGCAGGTAGCTGCCTACACACGGCGAAAAGGGAAACGCGGGAGCACACATCCTCCAGCTAACATTAACATCAATTAACGTTGTTAATTGTCATTTAATGTTACCGCTTCCGGAATCCACTGGGGGGTGCTGGAACCCCGGCTGCTGGGCGGCTGGTACTCTCGTGATCGGCTGTATGCGGTGACCCTGGGTCAGCGAGAAGCCGGCCGACCGGGGGTCGGCGCAAGAGAGCGACCAATGCCCTGCGCAACCGAAGGCCCCAAACAAACCCCAAACAACATCCATGATAAGACGTCTGGATTGATTACGTCTGTCTGTACTTGGCTTCGGAAATAGATGGTAACACAGTTGCTTTTCCAACGTCGCTGGATCCAGCGGTAGCGGCTGTTGTCGTGCCCCAGATGCAAAGCGAAGGGTTTAGTGACGGTGGTGGCCAGGTAGGAGGCGCAGCAGATGATGCAGCGTACGTTCAACGCGTTGACGAGTCAGGTAAGCTCTGCTAGACAGAGAAAACTGCTCGTCCTTGCTGGAGTTCAAGTCTTAGCCGCGCGTATGTCGTAAAAGCATGAACTGGATAGACTGAGCGCCCTGTCTTACGCAGTGATAGCTTGTAACCGTGACTGTACCGTCTGTACGGATCGGCCTTACTGTTAGTCGATGTGAAGGACACGCGGATAATGTCGCCGATGCGTGTGAACGAGGATAATGTGATGTCATTGAGGAGCAGCGTACGCATAGTAAGTTGGTGATGATGCCGTGCACTTGCTGACTCCCGAACCCGCAAAAGACTGTGGTGAAGGTGGCACAAAACGCACAGTAGATCTTGTGATTGATGGTACCCAGTGATATGCAGACTTTAGTCACACCGGTTTTGAAATAACCGCTGGTAGCCGTGCATTGCGTGATTCGCAACAAACGTATGCACTGGATAGAGCAAATTGGGCAGGAACAAGATGTGCAGTAGCAAGAGGAGGGTTTCCACTGTCGCCGGCAGGCTGCCTTCGCCATGCGCTCGGCAATATACCGTAAACCGATGATGTCAGGAGCCGTTCATACTGCAGGTGAACTGTGCTGTACGGACGTCGCAATGGTGATTTTCTGTTCGTGCTAGGTGAAGGAACCGTTCCACCTTATCATCAGAAATGGTGCAGTTTGTCGTTGGTGTCTTGCTTTGTAGTTGAAGGAGATGCTGCAGTCAGTGGCGGCTTGGTTTGCTGTCATAATCAGGTGCGGCCGAAGTCGGAAGATCGCAATGCCGCGAAGAATGATACAGCCGTTGCTGGAGGTCTATTTCACCGACTGAGGCAGGTGCAGCCGAAAATCAAGAACTGTCTTGCTGCCCGTAGGATTTACAGGCGTAGTTGCGTGCATTCTTTGGCAACGGAAATAGTGCAGCTTACCGTCGGAGGAGGGCGCCGCCCGTGCTGTGGTACTTGTCTGCCGTCCTAGAAAGGTGCAGCCATCCTTGCAGCTCCGTCTTGCCGTCGGAGGCAGATGCAGCCTCAGTAAATGGTCTGCTAGCCGTCCCAGTAAAGTGCAGCTGTAGTAGAAGGCCTAACTTGCCGTCAAAGGAAGAAAGCCGCCGTTGTTAGGGGGCTGTGTGCCGTCGAAGGAGGGCGCCGCCGTTGTTAGGGGGCCTGTGCCGTCCAAGGAAGGTGCAGCTGCAACTGGAGGCCTACCTTGCCGTCCGAGGATGCTGCAGCTCTCGCCAGTGGTCTAGCTTCCGACCGGAGTGTGCCCCGCCGTTGGAAGGGGCTGTCGCTGCCGGAGGTAGAGCGGTCGTAGTTGGGCTCCTGCTTTGCTGTCCGAAGAAGATGCAGCCGTAGCTGAAGGCCTGTCTTGCCGTCAAAGTCAGGTCCAGCCGTTGTCGGTGGCTTGGCCGACATCGTGGGTAGGTGCGAGTCGCGACCGTAAGATGGAAGCCTGCCCTGTCGTCCAATGAAGGGCTTGCGGCAAAAGGGGTACAGCTTTCCTTTGTGGCCTGTCTTCCCGTTAGGCATAGCCACAGCGGCTGATGAAACGACCTCGTCGTTGGACGTGTTCACTGCTGTAAGATGCGAAATCTGTTTCTTACGTAATCCGTAACGGCTGTAACTTGTCCGCTGAGCAGTGGTTGATCTTGTCCGCTCTTCCTTCGCACTGATGTTTCTCTGTATGGCCGCTCAACGAGCGAGTGGCGTTCAAAACTGAGTGCTAGCTGTTCGCTTGGCTCTTCGGATGAAGTGCGGATTTAGAAGACGCATAAAGAGCTGATCTGAAATTCTGTTGGGGATATGGTCGGTTACCGATGATGACAGTCTGACAGAGCCCAGAGGCTAGATAGCGATAACAAGGAGCTGAGCTATCGCACAAATAGCAGCTAGAGACAGCCAGGGCCACAGACTGCTGATACAGCTATAGCAGATGCTCGGAATACGGCGCGCGGAACGGCGCAAAATTCGGAAATCCAAGATGCAGATCAAGGAAGATGAAAATTTTGGTTTCAAGGGAGAATGAACATAAAGAACAAATCACTCGCGCGCACACGAACAAGAAATGCAAAGAACATTGGCCAGAAATGCAGAACACAACGCGGGCACAGAAACAGTGCCGAGAGCAAAACGCAGGCGCGTGAGTGCCGGCGGCCGCTTTGATCTAAGCGACCACAGCGACTCGCAGCGCCACCAACACAGGTAGCTGCCTACACACGGCGAAAAGGGAAACGCGGGAGCACACATCCTCCAGCTAACATTAACATCAATTAACGTTGTTAATTGTCATTTATTGCGATTCTGCGAACCGGAAATTGGGTTGCAGCATAGTTAACTTCCACACCTGAACGTTTGTAACTTACATATGTATGCCAAATAATATTCTCACCATGCTGTTAGTAGCGGGCAATATTGATTCAGTATTTTTTTAATGCGGCCTTGTAACTGTCAAAACAGATCAAAAGGTACGCAGGCAGCAATGACTTTTAGCAGTGTGCCCAGATATGGCAACCGGCTTGCCGGCACTTTGCGGCCCGTCGACATCAACACACAGGAGCGATTGCTTTTCACCGAACTCTACATTGCCGCAGATAAAAGCTTGGGAGCGCGCGGTACGGACATCTTTAACATTAAGGCCGCTCCTTGGACTGCTAATTACTAACATACGAAAATGCGTGGAGGCTGAAACTTTATGCCTGGAAGGGAAACAAAACGTGGTCGGTTATCGTAACTCTGCAACACGTCAGATCGTTATCCGTATCAGTGCACCAAATTTGCTTGGAAACGCGGTATCTGACCTGTGTGGACACTCTCACTGTGTCACACTTGAAATGCAGGTCGCTAACCGCGGGATCTGTCGCGGCGTTAGTTGAGGATAAAAAAGGGCGCCTGTACTCGTACCTCGACTTTCTGGAGGGGCGTTACGTCTTCGCGCCATCGGCTTTCGAATCTTTCAAGCCATGAGGAGCGGCGGCCCCCTTCTTAATGAAAGAAATCGGGAAGCGACGTCCAGAGGCATACGGGTAAACCTGGCTCTCAAGAATTTCTACACCCTCGTCGGTCGCTGGAAATACAGCGAGGCAACGTACGCCGCTTCCATACACGGAACAATGGATGGGCGGCGGCGGTAAATAGGCTTTTGTGTTGTAAAATTTGTTTACAACATCATACATGCCGAGCGCACGCTACACACTGTTAGGGCGTCAATAAAATATTCAGTCTATTTGTTTTGCTCACTTTAACGCAATGAAGCCGGTTTTATTTATCATGATCGATATGATCAAAATCATATTTCTAGTTTACGCTGATAAACTGCAGATAATTATACATTAGTAAGAATAATGGTGTTTCGTCAGTTTCATTATCTCTGATACGCGTAATGTCTGGAAAAAGGCATACTGCAGCAGCACAAGTTGGTCTGATAATTATTATTGTACTGTGTGGTTATCGTGATGTGAGATAATTACACTTTCAGTACATGTGCGAACGCTGCGAAAAACCAGCTGCCGCGTACAACCTTATACGGTTTATACAATTCCATTTGTATCGGAACAGAATCGTATTATTTCCACATAGACGCGTGCTAACATGGTTAACGGAAGTTGCCTTTTCTTTGTCCTGGCATTGGCATTTGTTTGCTGTGCTTACCACACGGACGCTCAAATTTACAATTTATGTAAGTAATAATGTGCAATGTAAAAAGCCATGCAAATTTGTATGTATTATTTTGAAACTGTTTTCTAATAAATAAATTAATAAGATAAATGTTTCCATTTTACATGTGGCATGGTGCTTTGCTTTACTGACGTTGTCAAGTGTACTGAGTACATACTCAGCAGGATAAAGTCATAACTGCAAAATACTATACAAAAAAAATAAATCGCATCATAAAAAAGAACAAATTCTTGGTGTCTGCCAAAATTCTGTACAGTGTAAGCGATTTCGTTGGATAAAATTAGTGTGTGTAATTTCAAACAACATTGTAGCCAAAATAATTTACAGACAGAAATCTGGAAGAACTGTGCAACGGAAATCTGACGGTGGACTGTCCTGACTCCTTTAACGGCCGAGCCGGTACCTTCCGCTTTTACCTGATCACGAGGCTCTCTCCGGGGCTGTGCTCCGTGAACGTGACATTGGCTGAAAACTGCGGTAGAACTCTGGAATATTACGCATTCTATTTCAATTTCCGGTACGTCAACTAACTAACCGCCTCTAACTAACCAAAGAACCTAAGCTTCTAACTAACTAAGCTAAGCTTCTAACTTACCTTCTAACTAAGCTTAATTCTAAAAGCTTAACTTCTAACTAAGCTTCTAACAGACCAAAGGAGGAGATCAGTGTTACGTGTGTTTTATTGTTGGAATTATTGTGGATGAATTACAGTAAATTCTTCCTTCCAACCAATGACCGCGTCAGGCTCTATCAAATTACCCGCTATGGAACGGTGAATATTCTCAAAGAATTACGCGGTAGCGTATCGGGATACTCGGATCCGGCATCCGTGGCCCAAGCGATGACATCATACGGCAAACAGCCAGCGTTTACCTTCGAGTACTTCCGCAGTGCATCACCGGCCAGTGGATCCCATGAAGCGTTTATCGATTTTGTAGTTGTGGAAGGTAAAGAGAAATAGACAATACGCGTTTTGTTCAACGAATCTTATCAGGCATAATACAGTAAGATATTGTCCTTCGCTAGATACCTACCACGCCATGAATAGCCGCTGCGCAGCCTTATCGGGTTACGTGAATGATCATTTCATCTGCGATACGGACGGAGACACTAATCGTGTCAACTGTCCATCCAGCTTTTCGCCCAGTACTACGGGATACAATCCGGCGTATTCGCGGCAGTGCGGGAACCGGCCAACGACGTCTTATTATACAACCACGCCCTACTACTGGAATACACAGGGTATTATTTCTCTATATTTGTACCGGGTATATCGGTGCTATACTTTATCGTAATAAGTAAATATAATGAACTAAACATTCCACTGTGTTATTTGCCTGTATTATGGCAGCTTAATTGAACAATTTGATATGAGGCTTGTATGAACTTGACTCTGTAAGTCAAAGTAATCAAGCTACCGGTCAAGACGTGGATATTGTACATCATCAGTGGATACATCATCAGTGACAGTGTTACTGTTTTCTAGGCAACTATGACTATGATTATGGCTTGAGCTCCGGAGCCATTACGGGAATCGTGATGGGAAGTGTCTTCTTTGTCGTCTTCCTCATTGCCGTTATTTCCGCCGCTTGTTCGGCCAGCAAAAAGACATCTCCCAGCCGTCCTATCGTGCTAACAACGACAAGCGGCACCGCGCTCACCAGTCGGCCCGTTGTTGTCGGTGCTCCTGTTCCGGCTGCCGGGCCGACTCCACCTTTTATGAGTGCGCCACCTTCATACGAAGAAGTCACTGCATCGCCGGCACACGTCAGCGTTCCTATGCCCCAGCCACCTGTTCCCAAATTCTAATTATTGTGATTGCGCATCAGCTTGCAAACTGAACTATCTGTGATATAGCTTATTATACAGCTGTTTAAGATTACAAAACTTTATAGCGCGCGGTTTTTCGATGTGCAAAATCTGTGCGCTTTTTTTGTGTGCATGGGATCCGCTGAGCGTCTGCAAGTTTTCCGCCAGCTGTTCCGACCTGTTCCCTCTCGAAAGTTTCGTAGTAGCTAAAAAACCGTGGCAATTTGTAGAGCGACTCCTCATTGACTTCTGCGGGAGTAGTTCTGGACGTGAAATTAGCATATTGTGCGGAGGCAGGACTTTTTCATGTATCATTTTTCCATTCGGCCATTTTTTCATTCTATAAAAAGCCGGCTCCATGGAAGCGGAAATGCGTCTGCTTTAAAGCAATGAATGCGCGAACCATTTGTTTAATTGGCGACGGCTGGTGTGGCGACGAGCATGACGGGATGTATGAATCTGATGACGGCACGATTCTGCAGTATGCCGTCAAATTGCCGGATGGCCGGGCTCGAATGCGCATGCGTAGGTGATTAATGGTGGTGTGACTGATGCTGTCATTGCCATCCAGCTTTGATCAATTGTCGCAGGAAGTGGCCCAAGTGGCCTTTGCCGAATGAATCGGTGGATGATTCAAAGAGCAAAATTTACTAAGTATTAAGTAAGGTGCAAGATTAGTGTTCCGAGTTTAATATGAAGGGTTTTACTAACCAAGTCATTCTTTTCTGTAACACGTCTGTTGGATATGCTGCTAGAAGCCTACAAAATCCGCACAGCTGCAGCAGCCGTTTTTCTGTTTTCTCGGACACTTACCGGCCACACCTGCCTTTTATAAGCTGATAACGGCAACAGCCGTAATTCGTTTTCTTGATAGAGATAGCCGCTTACAGTAGATATCCATGGCAAACCCCAGTTAACGCATTGCATATTGCACAACAGTATTTTTGCAACCTGATATGAACGTCACAACAGGTTTTTGTTATCGTCATGCGAGATAACAGGGCTTTTCAGTAAGTAAGCTATGATAAATAATACCGTATTTAATCGTTTTAGTTAGTGTAAATTTGCCCTGGCGTATCGCTGTGTGTATTGGTTGATGCCTAGTAAATAAAAAAAATCGTAATACAGTCTGCCTGCGCTGTAAAATTGATTATGTCTGTACCAGGTGTATGCGGCAGAGTTCTACCGTGTTTCACAATTGTGTGCTAAAATGGGTAGCGGAAGCGCGTTCTTCATCATCATTCGTCTGGGATTTCTTTTCTGCAGTCGCAATGTGGCTGCTCAGTATTATCGTTACTGTAAGTGGCGCTAATTTAATAAAAGTGCGTCGTTACGCCTCAACGGTCGATCGCTTTTTGCTGTTCATTTTAAACCATGGGTACCGTATCTATCCTTTGCGCTTGAAATGTGGGGGTGTTTCTGCCCGATTTGAAGCGAAATAGTGAATTTTATGAGCCGGAACGTTCGCCACGAATCGCGTTCTACTGCTTTTGCTAAGCGACGTATCACTCTGGCTGTCATTAAGGGAAAAACTACGGCTGTGTGTAATAGCTCTTTTTGGACATCGTTTTTTTTTAATAATCGTTATTTTTTACTGTATTTACTTAGTACAGTATTTTATTTTATTGTTATCGTTGTTTTTATTTCTTTCATTTGTTATTGTTTCTCAATCTTTTTACCCAGTTTTCGTAAACAAAAAATGTGTTATGGTTAGGAATTCTTCCTCTTGCAAAGAAACATCTGTGAAAAGAAGAACGTGTTCGAACCGCTTCTCCAGGAAAATGAGAACTGTCAGGGATTAGGTTCTAAAAACAGACAGCTTTTCCCTTTTTGCAATCGTACGATAAAAAATGAAAAAAATTGTTAGAAATTTATTGCTGTCGGTGGAATGTAAACTTTCCCGGCATTCAAGATGCGCTGGAGTAAGTACCTCCATGAGATGCGTTTTATTATAATGCAAATAGGGGTAATGGTGCACTCACGAAAGCGAGATGGCTGAAATCAGAGAAATGTGATGTCTTGTGAAACAAAACAGTTCACTTTAATATCTGAGCTTTTCACAACGATTTGCCGATACAATTATAATTCTAACGTCATAATTTGCAGTTCATACTTGTAGCTTTAACGGTTTAGCCTGTCTAATATCCCCTACCAGTAGCTTTACATTTTTTATAAATTTTCTCGATATAACTTAAGGTTTGGCTCCATTAATGGAGTAAATATGTTGGGATAAGCCTCTAGTATAATGTAGCATGAGTTAGAACGATTTAGTTATCATGAAGCTGCTTGATGCGTTGAAGAACATAATAATTATGAATTTACAGATCCTTATATGGACAGAATGTGCAATCAGAGCCTGCTATTAGACTGTCCCTTTATGTACGCACGAGCCGGAATCTTCCGCTATGACAACATACCCAACATGTCCCCGGGATTGTGCTACTTTAATGTGACACTGCCAGCCGACTGCGGGATATCAACCGACTCCTTCGCCGTCTATTTCAACATTCGGTGCATAAAAGAAATATCATACAATATGTTCGTGTAATCTTACTGCGTCTGTAATAAATCACAGAAAATTTCTTCTGCCGTCCACCGACCGTGTCAGAATCTATCAAACTGACCGACTGGCATCGCGCATCCTTCTCAAAGAGTTGACCGGTTCCCACTCCGCGCGGTCCAATCCTTCGTCGGTCGCGCAAGCTCTGACATCCTACGTTAAACAACCCTCCTTTACTTTCGAGTATTTCCGCGGTACATCACCTTCTACGGAATTGCATCAGGCTGGCATCGATTTTGTTGTCGTTGAAAGTAAGAAAGTACCACTCTTTTACTGCCCAATGCAGTTTTAAATCGATTAAAGAATCCTATGCCATAGTTCTGGGTTGTACTAGGTAGTCCGGGTTTATGGAATGCATATTGCCCCGCTTTGTCGGGGTATGTGGACGATTATTTCTTCTGTCATACGGACGGAAGTTATGATCGCGTCAACTGCCCGCACAACTTTGCTGCCGACGTGTATGCGTTGAATCCCGCCTATCTGAGGCAACCCTGCCCTTTTAAGTCTCCGCCGAGTTTCGAGAACAATGAACCAATATATGAGTATTGGAACACTTATGGCATACCAGGTAACATCTGCCAGTTTGCTCATTTGCAATGATACGGTTCATTTCGGTGTATATCATGGAAACAAGGCTTAGTGGTCCCAGGTTCGTAGTTCAAACGTACCAGACTGTTGTTCAAAATCATCTTGGTAAAAGTATTTTATGCGGTGGCACTTATTGCACTGACCATTTCAATGCAGTTTATACGGTAATAAATCATAACTGATTTAGCTGTTCAATTGTTTGATAACTTCATTTTAACTACCAGTTCTGTCTTGTGCTGTAATTTCACTTAAACTAGCGCTGAAAACACCAAATTACAACAAAAACACTTAATTAATGCTTTCTTGATACGGAGCCGTGCCAAAAACGCACATCGCGTTTCCGCGTTGCATTTTGATTGATAATCGCTTCCGGAAGAATCCTAGTTTGCCGATTTTTTGTAATTGTTAAATTATCTGCAAAAAGACGATCGAGGTCAGCGAACCTTACTAAGTCTCAGTTTTCAGGCAGTTCTAAGTCTTCCAGCCTGAACTTCGCTATCATTACGGGAATTGCCTTTGGATGTGTTTTATGTGTTCTCATGATCATTGCTGCGGTTTACGTGGTCCGCTCTGCCCGGCGACGTACATCACCCAGCCGACCCATCGTTCCATCAACAAATTGCACCATGCAACTAGCGCCACTACTAGCAGCTATGCAACATGATGCCACAAATTGGCCGGCGGTGCTCGATGATCCTGTTGCACCCCCTCCGCCATTTACGGGAGCACCGCCTTCGTATTCCCAAGTCACTGCAGCACCAGTCCTAGGCGGCATTCCCCCTCCGCCTTTTATGGGAGCTCCGCCTTCGTATTCCCAAGCCACTGCAGCACCAGAACTAGTCGGCATTTCTGTGTCCAACCCGCCGTCTTATAAATCACGCACACAGCACCAGTATTCCGAAAAGCGTGTGTATCTGGATAATGTCCGCGTGAAAGGAGATTTCTGAAATTCTAGTAGAAAGCCCGCAAGATTGCACGTTTTCGCGGTTCTACATATCGAATGACAATAACACTTCCCGGGTCTTCTTCAGCGGTGTGCAAGCAGCGTTTTAGTTTGGCTATTGTTAAAGAAAACGCTACGTGAACAGAATATTTATACTTATTATGTGCGGATTAAGAAGCAGATCGTGAGAAAGCCGAAGTACTCAATACAGTTTGTCAAAATCACCGGCTACCTGGCAGTTACCGCGCAGTTGTAATGCTAAATCCTGTATCGTAATTTTTTGAACGTTGTCTTGCCCAGTTAATACGTGATCATTTAAGTAAAAACAAAACCCTTTTTGATTACCAATTTGCTTACCGGCAAAAACGATCCACTGAACCACAGCTCTTTCTTTCTGTGATATTTGTTAACGATTTTGTTACAAATGGCAACGCAGCAGATGCCGTGTTCTAGACTGCTCAAACGTATTTGCTAAGTTTTCTCGTGAATCAATTATCAACGCACTAATTCAGATGAACCTTCCAAGTCAAATAGTGCATCTAATTTCTGATTATTTAAAAATTTGGTTTTTGTTTATGTACAGTTGAAAAAAAAATTTCGACTTCGTTTCGTGAACACAATGGTGTGCCTCAAGGTTCTGTTTTAGGGCCTTTGTTGTTTCATGGGTTCTCAGTTTCCTCATACGTGCGCTTGTCCGGCAGAAAGATGGACGGGTGGATGGTGGATGTTCAATGAAATCGCATCCACCAATCTGCTGACCTTCGGCAGTGGATGAGTCGTCCACCTTTCTGCCAGATCACATCCACTTTTCAGCCGAAGGTCGGTAGATTGGTGGAAGCGATTTCATTGAACATCTACCATCCACCCGTCCACCTTTCTGCCAGCCACATCCGCTGAAATTTGAAAAACGGAAGTGCCGTTTTCGTTTTTGTGGATAACATGGTTGTGTTTCGCCCAGTTATCGATGCATCCGACAGTCGGCTGTTACAGGAAGACTTAACGCATCTTGATTAATGGTTTAGTGACAAAACAGTGACTCTTTACGCTGCAGAGTCCGCCCATGTTTATTTTTTCAAACGAACTTCCCCTGAACTCGCATATCAGTACAGCATCAACAACGTTCCAGTACCGAAATGTGAACATGTTAAACACCTACCCCTGGGAATAATCGTTGACCGGAAACTAAACTTTAAAACCAACAGCAAAAATAAAAATCAGCAAAAATTTAGCGAAGAAATACGTATAACAAAGTGCCTAAAGCTTCTGCGGCATTTCCCTTCAAAAATGCCAAAGTAATCCGCCGTTTAAGAAATGCCGTGGATTTGCTCTCGCCCGTCTTTTCCTTTATCTAAAGTTTGAGGAGTCTGCAAACCATTTTTTTGCAGCTTCTTCTAGGACTCCCCGAAATTACCGGCAAGCTGGTATACGGGCATCTGTCAAGCAGCTGTAGAACCGGTACATTTCGCTTTACTAATATACATATTACAAGGATAGCAGCGCAACTGTGCTTCTTCAACGTTACTCTGGCTCCCAACTGCGGGACCGGTTAGGATCGTTTTGCAATTTACTTTAAATATATCCGGTACAGAAAACCCAAATGCATATTCTCACGGTTTGTGCTCCATGTGCAAAACATCCTGCTACTCTGCACATCGACGGCTGCTAGGACAGAATTTATGCAGTTCCTATGGAAATGATACTTGGATCATTCTTGCTTGAGTTTCGTTGGTTGTGTTTCATCCAATAAACTCTTCCTTTGTGAGAGACACGTGTTCTTTCACCCCCTGATTTATGCTCAAGTCTCTGGGCAAATGTTTTTATTGTAAATGGAACACGGTTTAAAGGAACTGGATATTTTTAATTATTGTGTTTTATTAAGTAATTGATTTTATTTATGAATTATTTCGTCATTGAATTCACTAATTTCAAGATTTATTTCAAAGTTATTATTTTCCATTTGTGGCCGAATTTCGGTGACAGTGTGACAGCCCCGCCTACTTCAGTTACGTCATTAAAATAATAATTTGTTAAATTTATATAAAAATTATTATTTTGCTTTTGTGGTCGAATTTTGGTGACAGTGTGACAGCCCCGCCTACTTAAGTTACGTCATTAAAATAATAATTTTTTAGATTTATTTAAAAATTATTATTTTCCTTTTGTGGTCGAATTTTGGTGACAGCGTGACAGCTCCGCCTACCTCAGTTACGTCATTAAAATAATAATTCTTTAAATTTATTTAAAAATTATTATTTTCCTTTGTGGTCGAATTTGGTGACAGTGACAGCCCCGCCTACTTAAGTTACGTCACTAAAATATTATTATGGTTAGGTTGTTGAGGTTCATATCAAAGGTTTTATAACGTCTTTATTATGATGACGCTCAGTTTCACATCGTCCATGCTTTTTATGTTCTTTAGGCTATAGAGTGAAGGCTTCGGCCTACCATTGTACTGGTGGTACAGTAATCTACTGTTTTAGCCTATGGTGGAGCATGGCGGCCTTCTGATATTACGTAACATGTCTATCTTACAGATAAACAGCTATTTGTAACATACTCGTACTTACTAATTAATATGGTAGTGCATTATAGTATTATAGTAGTGAATTGAAACCTTTTAAAATGGAACAAACGTCTGAATCAAACCTTAAAGAAAAAAACGGAACTGTGATACGATCATTTTATTTATGACTATTTAAAGAAAGGCGAGGATTAAATGTAGTTCGGCTGTTTCTACGAGTACTTACAGACACTTTTAATGGGCAAATTAATAAAGCGAATAATTATTTTTTAAGTAAATGCAAATGTTTCTTGGCAGCGGAAATTTAAACTCGTTTCACTCCGCCTGTTTCTATTAATACAAAATTATTTAATAGGCAAATAATTATACCAAGCTAATAATTATTTTAAAAATATACACAAGCCTTTCTGGCAGCATATACTGTATATTATTTTAATGGGCAAAATATACTGTAAGTTATTTATACAGCATAAACTGTAAATTATTTTATTAGGCAAGCGGAGCGGAGCAGCAAACAGCAGTAAAATAAGTAAGTAAACAGCAGGCAATGTTTTTGGTTGTAAGTATGGAAGGCCAATGTCTCTTATTTTTTGGACGTGTCCAAAGTGTCGATCTATTCCGGATATAGCGAACGTTGTTTCGAGTCGAGGCTGGACCGTGTTTACCGGTCAGTCAGGCGGAAAAGTGTCCGCTGCGGGGACACTTTGAGAAGGGGACACCGAAGATCGGGTCGACTGATTGCGAAACAACCAGACCGTTTCCCCGAACATTACGGATGCCATGTGTTTGCTGTTGCGTGACCTGGTGTATGATAGTTTGGCGATGGAGCTTAACTGGCATGTTAAAGAACAAATATGGCTGCTTTATGGGACGTCACTGCCGGAAAAGCAGATTACGGTTAGCCACAAGGCTGTCCAAAACCAAGGAAACGGAATCGATTGTCCCCTTTACGCTTTAGCGTTTGCGCACAAGCTGCTCAATGGAATTGACCCACAGGATTGACCCTTTTCTGTGTAATTGATCCTTTTCTGGAAACGCCTTCGAAGCTAAGCGTGTGCAAAAACTCAAACACCGTCCTGGCAGGGCGGCCGAGCGAGTAAAACCGAAAAAAATCGCTAACTATAACGGAAACGGAGGCCAGCGAGTGGTATCAAAAAAGAGGAGCCAGACCGCGAGACGAAAGAGCTGTCGTTTTTCCGCCCGTAATAACAACTGCTTAATTTTTTTCCAAAATAGTGGTGTGCAGAGACTCTGGTGGTGAGCACTACGCTCCTGGTGTTGTTAGAAGGTTTAGGTGGTTTTTTCAAAAAAATTGAAAAATAACAAAACGTGGTGTGCGGAGCCTGGCGGTGGTGCTCCGTGGTTTGCGGAGACTTTGGTGGTGAAACGTGGTGTGCGGAGCCTTCCCCGTATAGTATTTATAATAAATCATAAATTTTCCGTTAAATTTTTTTTATAATGCTGAGCTTAGTATGTAAGGGAGAATGTTTGGTGATGTAAGCGCGTGCACATTAAAAATGCCGATCTTTTTAGACGACAAACCAATTTTTCGACGCTAGTTGCCGTATGGTTTGAAGTTTTTTTTTTCTCGGTAACGTGACTACTGTTACTGGCAGGTTAGCGCTTAATACTGAGGGAAGACTTTTATCTCGTATGCGCCAATAGGCGGTATTTTGGATGCGTGCGCGTTTACCTACATTACCAAACGTTTTCCCACACTTGTTTTGGTTTAGTAATATTAAGGACTAGTTATACGTCAGGAAAATAAAAAATTTAGTTAACTAATTAAATATTAATTATTAGTTAATTAGGGAAATCAATTTGATTTTATATTCTTGTTTTTTCTGCATCACTGGACTTGCCTGCAAAACGGGAACAGCGAAAGTTTTGTCAAGATGGTCCAGTTCGTCTTCCTGGTTTGGTTTAGTTACGGTAACTTTCGTGATAGTAGACGCAGGAAGGTCAGCTGACTGCTCGTTTTCGGATGCATCAGAAGTGTCCAGCTGCACAACTTTGGTGTTTCTTCTATTACCACGTGTTTTCTTTTCAGCCTTTCCAGTATTCATTTTTTTTTAATGAAAATAAATAAAAGAGTGAATGTGACTGGATAAATGAGAAACTTGGATTGATTTAAATATATATAGATACTTAATTAAGTCTTTTGACCGAAACTACGAAACTCATCAAATCTAAATAGACTTTGCAAAGCCTGCACTTTAAGCCGGCTCGCCGCGTGTTAAATTATTTACAGGTTCCTTGGCAACATCGCATACGTTCGACTAGTGCTCTGAGCGCGGCAGCTTCTGCAGGCAGCACATTAAGTTCTGGGTAGTTGGTAGTTTTGCATGCGACAGAGTTGCAACGTTGTTGCATAATCGATGATCCCAAAGCATGCACAAAGTATACGTTGTTAGAGCGGTGAAAGCGATTAACAATTTTGCAGAAGGTCAGCTTCGAGCCGTAAAAAATAGCAATATCATTCTCCACTTTGGCAAAAAAAGACGTGTTGCTTAAGGTAAAACTAAAACACCGGCTAAGTAAATTTTTAATAACCGAACAAGTCAAAGTCAGGCGGGCAGGGTAAACGTTGCTGCGTGCTAAAGAGACGGGTGTAAAATTATCATTCAGTTTTTCACGGCAGTGCACCAACGTTAGAAGGAAAAAATTGTACTCGCTTGAAGTGTGGACATTTGTTAGTGAATATTTTTCGAAAACCACACTTTGTCCAAATTTCGCGCATCGGTACATTCGGAATTGCTGGTTCCTAGTGTAAGGTGTAAGATCAACCAAAGGAACCGTTTCTAGTTGATGGAATTTCTGCGAGATCTTTACTACAGTTGCTTTAAGGTGCTTCAGACTGCCAGAAACGACTCCCGGAAATACCACGTGAAAACTGCACTTTCCATTTCGAGAGCAGTCCAAAACAATAATTTCTTCAGTATTTAGTCCAGCCAAAGCAAAACTGCTAAATTTTGATATCAGATTTGTCGCTGGGAAAACTGAGTGCATTTTCCATTCTAAGTCAAAATATAACTTTTGTTTCCAACTCTCCGGAACCACCACAAAAAAATACGGGCGCTGTTTATAATCAAAATTTACAAGCCGCCAAATTTGCTCGCATTTTGCCACAATAAACTTTCGTGACCCCGATTCAGACTGTTCAAAAGAGAAGACTCTTAACGTGTTGGAACGCTCTGACACGCAGTATTGTAAAGCTTCGTCAAGTTTGAGGAACCATTTTGCCATTTTTTCTCATTATATCGTGCAGTATTGTAAGTAATATTAATTACACACTTTCATACGCAGCAAAACAGTTACTCTGTTGATTACTTTGACTGCGTTAGATTTGGGCTACATTTATTTTCTTCGGGTAGCATTCGGCCACCCCTTGTTTGTTCGAGTGACAACTCTCATACCTTTTTTTTATTATGTTTTCTATGTTTTATTTTCTTCCACATTACTGTGTTCTCCAATTTTTATTTTACATACTAACTTACGATTACTACTCGCAAAGGCAGAAAAGTGGGACAGTATGTTCAGTAATAAGGCAATATTCCGAGTAATTTCCCGCGTCGCCAATGAGTTTTTCTTTCACTTTTTTGTTTGACTGGCTTTTTAAACATAAATGAACTACTAGCGTTCTCAACTTTTGAAAAATAGGTTTTGTAATTAGTTAAGAACTTTGTGACTTTTAAAAAAGCGAGACGTGGTAAAGTAAAATGGACCCGCCGTTCTCAGCACTCAAGCAGTCGTATTCAAATTCAAGGGGGAATCAAGTTTTCGCTTTTAAACTATTTTTATTAGGTAAATCGGACTCAATAATTCCGAATCCGTTCTCAGAAAACTTTTGTCTCCTGTTTTGTGAATGCAGTCTGTAACCTTAAGAACAGCTTTTACATGTTTAGATTTAAAAAAGCAATGCAATACCAAGAAACATAAGAATTGAGGAAATACTTTTACTGTAACCTCCTTTTAAGTGACGTTAATTAATGCTTATGTTGTTTACTACGTACTAGTACATACTAAGTACTATGTATACGTACCAGTATTAAAAATTCCCAGTATTTCGTATAGAGTTCGTTATGCTGAACTAAGTACAGAAAACAACCAGAAAAAAATCGGTCGTAAAATTCTTAATTAACGGTGGCCACTTTGAGCGACCATCATTCCAGCAAACAAAACAGCCCCGACATAGGCAAATCTTGCTTTGCGCGAAATTGACGTAGTTTTATTGTTAATTTAGCATCGGAATATCCAGAGTACGGGAAAATTAAAATATCTAGAATCCAATCTACTCGACATTGCAGTACTCCCAGTTTTTTGCATTCACTTCAGGTTCTTTTTGTTAAACGTTTTAAACCGGCCTCCCTCATTTGGCCGACCTTTCGTAAATAAAGAATATGCCGGCAAGGCAAACCAAATTTGCATTTTGTATAACACGAGCACGTATACCTTTCGTTCGTACTTTATTAGTTCGTATGTACGATGCTCTATCCTGGTAGTGTTTGTAACACTCCACTTATCGACAGTACTCGGCAAGACTTCGTACGTCTCGGCTCCCATTAGCGTGAATTGCTTTTGCACGATAAGGGCTGCAATTTTAGTAAGCGAACGCCTAACGCTTTCGGCATACTGAATCGAAGGAAAACCATGCAACACAAGGGCCTTTTCCTTGTTCACATATCCTTCGCACTTGGCAACTTCAAGTTTATGCGAGACTACTCATAGAATAATCTCCACACAATCTTTTAAATGGTAGCGCGTCCACACCGATCTTCCGGTATTCCGAAACGCTGATATAACGGGCAACGGAACCGGCTGATACTGCTCGAAATATTGCTAACCCAACGACTGAAGATACCACAGGAAATACAACGCTATATATACTGAACCGCTCGTACAGGAACAGGAAACACAAAAGGCGGTACAACCAAGCACATACTCGTACATACTAATACATGAGACAGGAATCCCCCGTTACACTCCCCTCTTACCAAACTGAAAACAGAATGTTTTCAGGAAAAACAAGCAAAAAACATAAACAAAAGAAAATTCAAAGCTTGCAAAAACATAAGAGAAATCACAATCAGATTTTTTTGGGAGTACAAAACGTAGATTTAGTGCGAAACATTATTATCAAATTAGGATTAAATATGGCAGGTAAAATCCGAAGCGTTCCACGTAGGTACTTGGTTGTTGTATTCGCCCGGTAAAGTCAATCCATCCAACGTTGAAGAATGACCACTTATTCCACACAGATATGCGACATCCGAGTTCATGCTGGTCTTGGGAAAGTAAGTGCAATATCGATGTGCATGACGTCGGTACAACAGTAGCAAAACGTTACACACTTCTGGTTCTGAAAACGTGAACACACATTGACGCAACCCTACTTATGTTTACACATATTTTTGAAATTTTTAATTAACGCGTTAATTTAAATTAAGCATTTAATCGTTGAAAATTGCCGCAAATACAAAACTGAATATTCAAATTGCACGAATCCAGAAAAAAAATCTCAAAAAAAAAACTTCGCGAAAATCTTTCGGGCAATAAAGTGCATAACATTGTATGGCGTAATAATGCGAGGATGACTCATTAATGTACAATAGCTGGAGCGAGATAAGGTGACAATGCGGATGGAAAAGTGAGAGACAAAGGCGGGACAAGATGTGACAGGCGTGTGGCTGCTAATAATATTATGAGTGGCAGGACATACCAAAAGATGCAGACCGTTAATATTACGGAAAGGGCACTACTCTCTGTAAAAATTGCTGTTCTGCAGTTACTGTAAATCATTTCCGCTTTTAAACTATGACATATACATTGACGAGACAAGTACAAAAAACTTTAAAAAGCGAGTCGATAATGATACTGTTGCCATCTGCGGCTTTATGAAAATTTATCTGCAGAGTCAAAGTCAAGCCCAAAAATATCAGCAGAACAACATCTGACAATGCATAACTTCAGAACAAAACTTTGTTATGCCCGAACTATGGAAGGGACGCCCATCTTTCCAATACCGCGATATGCGCACGAACCATACAATTTTTTTTTTAAAAACAAATTTTACGTTTTAAAATAAACAAAATACTTACCGTCAGAAGCACTGTGCAGCGGTGATGATGGTAGACTACCAACAGGCGAACTCGAAAATCCCAGCAGCTGTTTATTGTTCTGCATGGAGCGATTGTTTTATTTTCTCGAGTTGCATGACTTGTTGACATGTCACTCATTAAAAAACTAGGATTTTGAGGGCTATAATTTACTGTAATCAGACCAACAGGGACCGTTTATAGGCGCACCTGGATGACACTACAATTACAATAAAGACAGAGGGCACGGACAAGGGCAAGCGTTTATAGCTGTGGCCCGTCTGTATGATCTAGCATAAGATTACCACGCGACAAAACAAGGGTGGGCGTTTATAGCACGCTCCCGTTTATGAGCGATTATAAATAGGTTGATGCTCGTGCAAAGTCTTTTTCATAAATTGTTGCTGATCTTCTTCAATTTCATTTTATGTGATTAGCGTTAATCAATTCAGCCCAAATACTTACCTGAGCTGCCGTGGTATACAAGGGTGACCAAGCTGCGGCTTCTGTTCGACGGAATTATTATTTAAATTATTGCGCGCACTATTGTTACCATAACCTTTGCATAACCTTAAAATTGAACCAGTCAATTAATTTATTTACAGTCGATGCGAACATTTATAATTGTTTATTACCCAAAATCAATGCGCATATTGCCGTTGCAAACAGTACCGTACCCGTTAAGTGGAATTTTGGATAAGTATATCAGTATATGTATTTATATTTTTGCGCCAAGTATGCCGCCATGTGTTGTGAACGCTGACATTAAAATTTATGATCTTATTTTCGCTGGAATCGAAAAGCTGGAATTTATTTTTAACTTTTAATGGCAGCACATCTGGAATTTGACGATTTTATTCAAAATTTTATAATTTAAGTTGACATTAACGATCTCTCACTGCCCAGAACGAGACGATAACATCTGGCATTTTATGTCATTAGCCGAACCAGCGGCGGGAATTAATGATAGATAAGATTTAAGCTGAGCTGGGCATGTGCAATAACAATTTAAATATATCTCAAAATCCATTTCTGCGCATTAAATTGACAATAACCATTACCGTTACCATCGCGAGGATTTTCACATCTGGCCATCATCAAACAAATCAAATATTCAGCGAATCAGCGCTGTCAACTTAAGAAATTTTCTCACTCATCTGCCCTCTCCTCAATAACAATAAATACTGCTGCAGCCTTCAAAATCAACGGGCAGGCATCAATAATTATTAAACCCAATACTAAATTACGTATAAAATTTTCAAAAGCACATTAGTTTACAAAACCAAACATCAAAATACAAACAACACTCAGAACCGAAATATTAAATCTGCCATCTCGAATACGCCGATTGTGCACTACCGGTGTCCTGAGATTTTGCAGACCTAAACTGTTGCGCCTGAGATGGTAATTTACCGGGTGAAAGTTGCTGTGTCGTTGGCGGATGCTGTGCTACACCGAATGACATCGGATAACGATCTTCAGAATCTTGTTCTGCCTGTGCATACTGTGCCTGGATAGAGTGGCCACCTCCAAACGGGCAAGCATACGAAAGATGATCGTAGTTACCGCAATTAAAAGATCCATTAACCTGGCCTGGCGGCGCATCGGCGAGTCGAAGGGTTGACCGGTTCGCATTACCCGTTAAGTAGTTCTGAGAAAGAACATAACTGCCCTCTGATTCGTTATTTTCCTGTGAACACTTTATTTGTTCAGCAAGATGCTTCATTCTGTCATCCAAACCTTTCATTAGGTTATGAGCGACAATCTCTATCTGATTAGACCTGGGCGCTGTCGGCGAGCTGTGTGGCGACAAGAGATTTGACTGACCTGCGACATTGTTAAACAGTGGATATGGCGAATTTCCATTCTGCAGAGCGAGCTTGTATTGCTGTTTAACGGACACATCAAGTAAACGATTAACAAAGTCGGTTACTGTTCTGGGGCTGTTAGTCACGAATGCTGGTCTAAATTCAGGGGGCAAGGCTTCAAAGAGACGAACTGTTTTTTCTGCTTCGGTAGCTGCCGGATTACTGGCGTCCACGTAATCAAGAACACGATGGACAAAAGTACGAGGATCTGTAAATGCTAATGTACGGCAACTTTCATTCATAAGATCAAGTTTGAAACGAGTTTTTCCGATAGCTGTTAAAAAATTAGATCGAAGGTCTGGCCATGCGATACCTGCTGGTTCTGCGGTGTACCAGCGGAGAGCGTTATTCAGCAAACAGAGCGCAAAATGTCGGGTTCTGTCAGCTGCTGTGAAATTATTAGCAACGGCCATTGTCTCAAACTGTGTTAAGAAGTCATGGGCCATCTTCATAGGAAAAACCACCAAACTTCGACAAATAACCTAATTCGAGAGATGTCATACGGGTGACTGCGCCGGCATTTTGATTATTCAAAAAATTTAGTAAATTCTGATTTGAAATAGCGTTATTCTGCAGACTTTGCTGTATACGGCATTCTGCTGAGCAGCAGCGGCATTAACGGAGTTCAGAATATTCTGCAGTGCTTGGGGGTCTAGAGCCATGATACTGACTTGCTGGTAATTAGTAATTATCAATTACAATTAGCCTGTTAACTGCGTAAAGTTGGCTAGGAAATCGCTGGATAAATTACTTCTAAAAAGAGCGCGTTATGGATTTCGAAAATGCAATTCTGTAGCAGTCAAAATTGTTTTTGGAGAAAAATTGGACGTGATACATAGGGACATACCTGTTGGCTGTTGGAACAGGGAGGCGGAGGGGTAGCGGTGGTAAAAGTTAAAAGGGCACTGAAACTGTCGACTTGGAAAAAGATTTCGTTCTCGATATGCGACTCCAATATAACGGGCAACGGAACCAGCTGATACTGCTCGAAATATTGCAAACCCAACGACTGAAGGTACCACAAAAAATTCAACGCTATATATACTGAACCGTTCGTACAGGAACAGGAAACACAAGATGCGGGACAACCAAGCGCATACTGGTGCATACTAATACATGAGACAGGAATCCCCCGTTACACTGACTTAACCATGAGGAAAAAGCGCTCGATGCGATTCGTTGTACGGTTACCAAAAGCCAAAATACTTTTTTGATAAGCAAATGCCCACATGTTTATCCTAGACTTCCAGTGTTTTGAGTAATATTCTGCCATTGCGTCCGGCAGGAGTATCTCCAATTCGCGTTCTTCTTCCTCCAACCGGTTCATGCTGTCGGCATGCAGCACACGCTTAAATTAAGCGAGTAGCTCCTTTTTCTCGGTCTGAGACAGTTTTTGCGTTGCTATTTTTGTCTTCCAAGCTTTCATGGTGTGAAAAGCACGCAATAATACAGGCGCTGCAGGAAACGATTTTTCCAGGGCGGCAATTTGTGCAAAGTCTTTAACCACAAAGATACATTGAATACCCTCGACACTGTCATTATTTCTTTCCTTGAATATTTCGAACAGCCCTTCCAACGTGTTTTTCTTTTCATCGCGTAGAAGTGCCATCGCTACAGGCTGCCCGTAACCGTTTTCGTCTTCCACCAGTATACTGAAACATACAACGGTAGCCAAACTTGTAAGAAATAGAAAATCGGGAGTTATATAAAATGTTTTGAAATAGAAATGAAATCTTCTACTGTTGCCGCCGTTCCTGTAATTCGCACTACTGCACATTTTACGTGTTTCTATCATTTAGGTGAATACCCAGAAAAGTAAATACCCAGTTGCCATTATTAGTTTTTGAGAAAAGTCTGAACCTGGTATGTTGGGTCTGTCATATACACGGTCGCATACAGTACTCCCACATGTTATGTTTACAGAAATAAGTACAAAATTGTGCCCGAACTCTGTACACTCTGTACTAGACTTTCCAAATTAAGACAATGGTATATTGGTATGTGCAACTGTAAAAGTGGAAGGAGACTTCCAATACAAACAAAAAAGCTCACAATTGAGCCAGTAGGTGCTATCCATGAAAAGAGCTTGACCGAGCTTGCAGAAAACCTTCTTCATTCCACCAGTTTGAATGTAGAGAATGTCCAAAGTCCGGTCAGTGGAATTTGTTTGATGAGTAACTGTCAAGATGTCGGTATGGGGATTCTCTTCCACAACTTTTTGGAGATATTCTTCCAGTATTTGCCCTTCCGGTTTGTTACCTTTCACTTTCCTTTGCGTTACTGCAGCATAATTATGAATATCTTTTGTTCTCAACTGGCCGCTTACACCAGACTTCCAACGCTGTTCATTTATTTTTTTTGCAAGCAGTCGCCCGTTGGACACCACAGTTGAGAAGACCATCTATCTCTTTTTTCTCTTCGTCCGCTAGCTTTCTGTTTTCCGGATAAAAATTCCACACAGATTCTTCGACTGCATGATTGTGATCCGATGCCCCAGCAACGGTTACTGCGTGGATGACATTCTTGATTAGCTTGAACTTGACAAATGCCGGACAGTCAAGTTTTACCGTTGTTTGAACCTTCCTGCATTCAACTGCAGTCTTTCCGATGACTGCGCCACTTCTCATGACGTTTACATACAAACTTTATCCAGCTAAATTTTAAGTCGTTGTGACACGGATGATTTATTGAAAGCCTTTCAAAATTTCGACTTTTTACGAATACCAAGAAAGTCGCTTTTTCGTACTCTTTTAAAGAATTTATAGCGCTTTCGTAATCGTCAAAAGTGTCACCGACTTTCAACATTTTTCATCTTTTGCTGACTTTAGCTTTGATTATTGTTGACATCAATATACTGAACTTACGCTACTTCAATAGTTTAATAGTTTAATAGTTTCATCTCGGTAGCAGGTAACCCATTAACCTGCTGTATTTTGCATACACAGCATGGGAATTTAAACCTGGCCCAACACAACACACGCTCATTATCAAACTCCGCTACAGAAGGCATATGATACAACACAGCTCAGAATTGTAAGCATTATTAGACCCATACACTGGCACACTTGACAGTGGCTAAGCATTGACATAAACGTGTATAAAGCACGCAGACTAAACGCTATAGACACCAAGATCCGTATCGTTCGGCCGTATCCGTAGTTGAATGAGGAATGGAGCGCCGGTGCTTTATCCTGATGCGACGAGCGAGTTGAACCATGGAGGATCCGTTTAAGCCCAGGCGTCGAAGAAGCGCACACGCCACTCAGTACGGTCAGCGCGGATGCCGACTAACCATGTCGCACACAGCCTTGCGGGCCATGCACTCGCAGCCTGAACTCACAGTGGTCACCCATCCAAATCCAAACCGCGCTCGATGTAGACTATCTTTCAAAATCCGAAGATCCATCCATTTAGCTACACGGAGTGTGGCTATATAATCTGTCAATAATTTCGTAATATCCGACTGACCTTTATTATTGTTTCATGGCAACACTTTCATTTGCTGGAAAAGCGATAGCAGCCTCCAGTGCACATATAAAATTTATTGACAAGAATTATTTTACCATTGATTTTTAGCGAAATTTCAAACTACGCTTAACTATAGTGAAGACGCCCCCGACCCCCAGGGGGCCATAAATATTTCAGGAAAGGTAAAAAAAAACAACCTTTACTATGCAGTTTACGGTTAAATAATCCCTTAACAAATTTAAATTCCATTAATTAGGACTTCCATTAACGAATTACATTTCCAAGAAAAACCGTTGCCCGGAGACACTTCGCTAATGCTCATTTATCCACATTTACAAGGGGCTGTTATATCTTCCTTGTGACACATGGCGCTTCTGGCAAATCATAGCATATAGACTTCTACTATTACATTTTCAATTATAACCTGCTAATAGGCGTTTTTCTTGGAAAGTAAAGTAGAATGTTATGTGGGGTTTTACCAGTACAAAAAGACCGATCGCGTAATTGAATCTTTAATAATCATGTCATGTTCTTCTAATAACATCAATCAAATATCCCGCGGTGTCGCTGTGCTTTTCAGTTGGATACTGAGATTCTCCTCTTTCCGATTGCCACACCCCAGCTTGGCTAAGAAAATTTTCCTCGTCGCCGGAGCACAGAAGACAAATACCGTCGCGTCCAGTACACAGTTCAGTTTGCCAAATAATCGACCGATATCCGTTAGAAGCGTCCAGTTGGGGAAGATGTTCACCGTAATAAACAGAAAAGTCCAGACAACAAAAGTAATGGCCGTAGAGGCCAGGAACACCGTGTTTGTGCCGGCTGCCAGTGCTTTGCCCGTCCTCCCCGGTTCCGGTCCTGCAACGGACAATATTTTTTTGAATAAAGTGCAGCGCATTTAATTGGTCTCGATTCCGTTTATATTTATTGAAACTATCGCTTACTTTTTCTGACAAGCGTTGTCATATTGTTTGATTTCATTTTAAACTCTTGGTTGGTACACACTGTCCTGAAAACCGTTTCGGTTGGCAACGCTAGGAAACCAACATAAGGCAAGGCAAACTAAAAGTGGCAAAATTTTAAGTCAAGTATCGTGCGCAAAAGTCGCTTTCGTGTTCGAGTCTGCGTAAAAGCAGCATGGTTTTAAAAAAAGGATCTCGAGCAAAATTAAATCAAGAGAATTTATACAGTTTTGAAATAACGAAGCATTTCAATCATTATAAACATGCTGAAGAGAACCACAACAGAACTAACAAAAAATTACCTGAAAATTAAGTTATTGGCAGTCTTATAACACAACGCACCGTGGTCGACTGGAGCCACATGTCGTCGCCTAATTACTCGCAGGACGAAGATGTATGGTACTGCTCCAAATACGATCACAACCCCGACCAGGGAAATATTTTGGACAAACGACACTAGCCTCGGAAAAATATTAACCGGCATGATACAGGGTTTCCCGTTACCTCCAACACGTTCGCTGATGGTCAAGATAAAATGCGGCAGGCGTGTGGCATACAGAACAACATGCTGAGCAACGCAGGCGATAATCGCCACCCGTTTGGTATGACGAGCGCGATAGTGAACAGGAAAGGTCACTGCCCAGATGCGGTTGAGCGAAAGCAGATAGTGTCCCGAGGCGCCCAGCGGATCACCAATCCACAGGTATAATATCCGCGTGGCACACCATGCAACACTGGTTCCTGTCGAGGGTCCGTTAATCTGTACGTTGACCAGGGTGGCGCATTTCAACAGGAACGTCACTACCCAGCAAAGGCACATGTTGATTTGGTAAATGTTGAAGGGCGTTTGTAGGCGTTTATTGGAGAGAAAGACGGTAACAATCACGATGAGATAGACAGTTGCCAGCGGGACCAGTGCGGTCAGAAGATGATTCAGCCATCCGATGGAGGTAGCCCCATAGGCAGCGGTAACATTGGAGGAGTTCAACGCAGTTATATTAGACATTGTTGACTATTCATTAGCGTACGGCAAGAAATGATGTAAGCGTAATAATGCTGTTTGGCACCGCGTGTTTGGCCAGGCTACATCGGCTAATATGGTATTTTGGTGACACGCTAACCTCTGCGCTCACGTAACGGAGCCGGTTATTCCTGCAGACGATGCACATTGCATGATGTCATCAACATCCGATAAAGGCAACGGCATGGGATGCGCTAATTTGTTCTTCACGTGAATGAATTATTTTTCATAACGTTGTGCGTAGATCATCCGGAAGTTGTTAATACCAAGACGATTAGTTAGCATATTGCTTTACCGAACCACAGGATTTTCCAGTTAGTGTTTCCAGCTGACGTTAAAATACATATAAACAACCTGAGATTAGCAAACGATACTGCTGCATGCCCGTGAGTTTGAAATTAGTGTAGATTACTTCTTAATTTTTCCTGTTATGTGGCTAACTGTGATATTTTCTATGCCCTAGAATGATTTGTGGAGGCAACAAAAGTGGCATTTTATGCGCTATTTACTGAACGTTCCAGCAGGGGTGTGGCGGACATTAAGTAATAAGGTAAAACAGATCCGGAACGCAATTGCCCATAAGCGCAGTTAGTGGGTTTAAAGGCAATGCCGAAAAGGTTGTGAACAGAATGTTGTCCCAAAAGCTTGTGCACAGAGTGAATGGTTCTGCGAAAGGTTGCGAACGGAGAGGTTATCATTAATTTAACCGTGGCAATCCGGTGTGATTTGACCCCAAGTTTCATAAACAACCGAAAGCGTTATTCTAGGCCTTAGGATCCGTATTACGAATTTCCAGAACGACCGCTGCATTGCCTCTAACTACCGCTGTGTGATGTACTGCTCAATGGTAGACCGGGATATTGACCTTTGTTTTTAAAACAGAGGAGAAAGGTGGGGTGTATGCAGCATAGTGACTGTACGTATGCGTGTACGAATGTTAGGGTTAGGCTGATTATTTTTGCAATAACGCAAGCAACACTTTTTTTTACGTAACAGTTATAAAGGAGCGGCCGAACACTGAGCATAATTTGGCGACTTGGAACAAAGTCGCTTGCGTCTTCTGGACCAAATGGATGCCCTTTAAGTGGATGTCCGTATTGCGCTGCGCAATCAACGGATATCGTCGAACAGAGAGCCCAAGAACATCGTCTTCTTCCATGGAGAGCGTCGCCGATCAACCACAGCCAGGTGTTTCGTGGACGAAGAGAGACAACGGAAGAGAAGGGAGGCCATAAAATACGCTTTTATTGGGTGTTCTTCCAGATTGGCCCTACTGAATGCCGCCGTGTCGAAAACAACGTGGGCCCGCAAAGACGTTGAACTCATGTCAGAAGGAAGTCCCATGCTCCGCACACCGAGCGCAAGTGGGTCTGCGTTGTAGCGTCCAGATTCCAGAAGACTTCCCTTAACAATTCCGTCGGCATTACAGCGAATTCATTTAATCCGGAATTCTGGACCAACGGCTCGGACTGGATGGATTTCAATAGCGCGTTGTGAGATGTGGTGAGATTTGTCTGCTAAGTCACAACACGACATATCGGCATGGATAATGTCATCATAAACATGAACCGCAACATACATTCGAACAATCATCGTGCCGGTTTCTCTTCAGCACCGACCGACCGCCGCTGAATGTAGATCACACAGTCGTCCACGACGTCCACGCACACCGCATGGGCAGAATTCAGAAGACGGTAGTTCGTTGCTGTACTACGCTGTTGCAGCGCTGCAGCAATCAGTGTCGCGGGATAACCTTCCGGCAGCCGGATAGCGCGCTTGACGAAGGTCCGTTTCTTGACGCAGTTCTTGGGAGAATCCACCACTGATGATTGGTTCTCAACTATTTCCCACGCATCGTCAACGATGTCCCACTGGACCCGCCCCTCCTTGACCGCTTTCCAGCGAAAGCGAGTGTTGCGAGCAACATCCACACATTCCTGCGGTGTTCCGCGATGAAGGACGACCACTTTATAGTCGTCACCACCAGGGCCGCGGACCGGACCATGGCGTTCCACTGGCAACCAAGTCCACGCACCCAATGCACTGTCACGCATCAAGACTTCGGCTATCGCGCCACGTTTTATCTCAGCGGCTGTGGCTAATTTTCGGGTCCGGCCTCATGGAGAAAGACCCGATCGAAAGGGGATAATTCACGTCGGCGACCGGAGCACAGAAAGTCAATGAAAAGACCCTCGTCCGTTACGTCCACGACCCGTCCACAACGCCAGACCTCGTCGTCGCCCAACACGTTCACGCTGTTCCACGGGTGGATTCGGGTATCCAATGTCGACCAATCCATTGTCCCGCCTCTCCTGCTGTGAGTAAGTCTAAAAACAATTGTTCAGATTTATTTAGGTATCGGTACAATGCTACCGGAACAAGCCTTACCTGTTGTCGGTTTGGGATCTTCCACAGAATTCAATGGTCGACTTGAAAACAGAAAAATCAAATCACGTCTACGGACACTCTACAGGCGATACGATCCCAGCCGCTGTAAAAAAGTGTTTTGTCTGTCAGAGAATCGAGCAATAAATGGTTTTCGGTTTAAAATGGTCTTTAGCGTACGTATTTGCTTTATGTACACACGAGTACTAGTATCTTTGCACCATTGGTCCGAGCAGACTGGGGTAAAGCTAACGGATAAATACTACCCCCATTTTTTATATCCATCCAATGTTCCTGGAAATATTCGTATTTCTAGCCAATGAAATTACTGGAAATAATTCTGGCTGTTTCGAAAAGGCTGTCCGCTACAAACGTCATTAAACGTATCAGGTACAGTATGTACTCATGACTCATGTACGTATGGGTACCGTATACCGACCGGCAATTATTAAACAGAAATTAAATTTTGTACGGTCGTTTGTAATTGTGACGTACGTTTTGTGCGAGTATACTCGAGTTGCGTACGGCCTGTCACGCGTCTGCGGCCACTTCAAAGATGTCTGCGCGCACTTCAAAGATACCGCTTTCATAAAGAGTACAATTTTACGAATATGCCCAAGGAAATATTTAGGTTGTTAGTCGGATTGCAGCCTTACTTTGCCGTTCTGTGCGTTAATAATACAGTAATATAACCCACATATGTATTCTCATTCCATACCTACTTCAGTATACTGTATTAGCATTTTGACCAGCCGGTTTCGTCATGTCGTGACCTCCTGTGTTTATTTCCTCCAAAAATTCCGTAAAATTATAAAGTTTTCTAAGATTATAAAGTTCTGTCATGCACAACGTTTTGAGGTATAAAACACGTGTGCTGTTTCGTACGCTTGTGATCCGCTAAGCATCAAAAAGGTTGCTTTGGTCAACTGCTTTGATCAACTCTCTCTCGAAAGTTTCGTAGAGGCTAGAAAAGTTTGGTGATTCGTAAAGTGCTCCGTTTCGGAATTTTTTGGGAGTAATTTTGAAAGTGGAGGTTAGCACCTTAGCATATTTTGCAGAGGCAACAAATTTCATGTACCATTTTTTCGTGAATCAAGAAACCGGTTTCATGCAAGCGGAAATGCGGATGCTGTCTTAAGAGCGCTGAATGTACGAGCCTTTATGTTTAACTGGCGACGGCTTCTGTGGCTACGACTTACGAGCATGATGAAATACATGAGTCATGTATGAAGGCGCGATTATGCCGTACTGAGTACATATGCCGTCAGCGTGATTCCCCATGACTCCTACTGACCGGGCTAGGAGGGGCATGCATAGCTGACTAACAGTGGTGTGACTAATAATTACTGTCGCTAGCGGTCCTTCATCGATCAGTCGTTACAGCAAGTGGGCTTTGCCGAATGAAATTTTTCTGCAGCCGATGGATGATTATAGAGTAAAATTTAATAAGCAAGGCTTAAGGAAGTAGTTCCGAGTTTAATTTTGGAATTTTACCAAAGAAGCATTCTATTCTTTTTTTAATACGTCTGTGGATATGCCGCAGAAGCCTACACATACGCACAACGGCATCAGCCATTTTTCTGTTTTCGCGCACATCAACCGGCCACGCCTGTGTTACAGCTGATTATCGGAACAGATATTAATTCTTTTCCTGCTGTTCGATACGGATAGTGGCTAGCAATAGATATCCATGGAAAGTCGCTTTACGCACTGCCTGAATAATGCACAACAGCATTGTTGCTACCTGAAATGCCCAGTACAGCAGCCTTGATGCTGTAGTGCGATATATGGGTTCCTGTTGTCTCCTTCGTGATAATTCTGCTTACACTAAGTGAGTTATGTTCGTAATATTATCGCGTTAGAGTAACTGCTTGTTTATAGCACGTGTGTGCCAAAAAACCCTGTACATACCGTGTTATTATTTCAGAGCTGTGGGCTAAAAATTAATGGGTACCGGAAGCAAATTCTTCATTATCCTTGGTCTGGGATTTCTCTCCTGCATCCGCAATGTGATGGCGCAGTATTACCGTAACTGTAAGTGACGCTGGCGTAATACAACCCCTTCGATATTGCCCAACAGTTGGCCACTTTTTGCTGTTTGTTTTGAACAGTCGATAACTTACCTGTCCTTTGTGCTTGAAACATGGGGGGTTTTTGCCCGGCTTTGAGCGATATGTTGAATTTTTTTTCTTTATTGAGGAGTAAATCGCATCAGCCGTACTATTTCCGTTTGCTTCTCTACTTCTCTTTCTCAGTTGCGCAATCGGATGTAGCCGCAAAACCGGTGTGGATGTGACATCCAGTGCGATCAGCAGTTTATCACAATAATACGCCACCTGAAGCTTTAATTATAGATTTATAGTTGTAATTGTAGTACCAGTTGTTGAGAAACAGAGAAAATCTATTACATCATAAATTTTATCCGAAATTATCCCCTTTAATAAAGACTTGCGTAAGTTTAAGTTTGCCCCAAGGAATATATATATATATATATGTCCTCTACGGGAAAACATATAAGTACGCCTCTATTGCCATTGACTCAATGTCATGTGCAAGAGATTATCCGAGACGCAGACACATGGCTGAAAGTGCAGCTGAACTGCCCGGCAGAATGGCCTGGCCTGATTTATTTAGCTATCATAGAACTGTTTAATGAAGTGGAAAACATAATAATTATGAATTTACAGACCCAAATTTGGAAATGTTATGCAATCAAAGCCTGGTATTAGACTGTCCCTTCTTGTTCGATGGACGAGCCGGAACATTCCGCTATGACAACATACCCGACCTATCCCCGGGATTATGCTACTTTAATGTGACATTGCCACCCGACTGCGGGATATCGAGCAGATTTTTCGCCTTTTACATCAACATTCGGTGCGTAAAAGGAATATCAAACAATGAAGCAGACAGTTTTCATGCTTCTTTAATGAATTACAGGAAATTTCTTCTACCGCCTACCGACCATGTCCGAATCTATCAAGCTAACCGACTGGCACCGCGCATTCTTCTCAAAGAGTTGACCGGTTCCCACTCCGCGCGGTCCAATCCTTCGTCGGTCTCGCAAGCTCTGACATCCTACGTTAAACAACCATCCTTTATTTTCGAATATTTCCGCGGCACATCACCCTCTACGGAGTCGAATCAGGCTTACATCGATTTTATTATCGTTACAAGTTAGAAAGTACCACTCTTGTACTGCTAAGTGCCTAAAAAATTGTATGCGATATTTTGTTGTTGTACTAGATAGTCCGGGTTTATGGAGTGCATATTGCCCCGCTTTGTCGGGGTATGTGGACGTGTATTTCATCTGTCATACCGACGGAACTTATGGTCGCGTCAACTGCCCGCACAGCTTTACGCCCGACGTGTATGCGGTGAATCCCGCCTCTCTGAGGCAATCATGCCCTTTCAGGTCCCCACCAAGTGCCGGGAACAATGAACCAATATATGAGTATTGGAACACGCATGGCATACTAGGTACACATCGGGCAAATTGCTTATTTGCAATGGCACACTTTGGCGAACATATCATGGAAGCACTGGGTTCGCACCAACTGTTGTTCAAAATCAACTTGGCAATAGTATTTTAATTATGCGGTAGCACTTGCACTGACCATCGGCAAGAATCAGTGACTGCAGTGCAGTTACTACGGTAAAAACTTTTCAATGGTGATTGTCAAATTATCTGTAAGTACGCGATCTAGGTTAGCGGACCTTAACTAAGCCTAATTTTCCAGGCAGTTCTCAGTCTTCTAGCTTGAGCTCCGATGCCATTACGGGAATTGTATTTGGATGTATTTTATTTGTTGTCATCATCATTACGGGGGTTTATATGAGACTCCGCTCTGTCAGGCGACGTACACCGCCCAGCCGACCAATCGTTCTACCACGAACCAGCGGCGCCGTGCAACTGGAGCCACTGCTAGTAACTGTGCCACAGGGCGCCAACAGAGTGCCGGCGGTGCTCGATGATCCGGTTGCACCCCCTCCGCCCTATCTGGGAGCACCGCCTTCGTATTCACAACTCACAGCAGCACCAGCACTAGTCAGCATTTCTTTGTCCAACCCGCCGTCGTATAAATCATGTATTTAGCTTCGAAATATGGGAAAGGCGTGTACGTACATCTTGATAATGTTCGCATGAGAGGCAGATTCTAACAGAAAGCCCTCAAGATTACACTTTTTCGCGTATGCACATATCGAATGGCTGTAAAAATAAAGGTTTTCCTCGGCGGTGTGCAAGCAGCGTTTCAGTTATGCTTCTGTTAAAGGAAATGCTACGTAAGATAACTTAGACTTTTAGATTAAGAGAGACTTATAGGTAAGCATAAGTAGATTACTTGTATTTATCTGTATGCGGATTGCTCTTAACTCATAAGTGTGATCGAGTGTATTCCTTACGGCTAAATGAAATATATTGTTTCAGTTGTTGAAAAATATTATCCAAAGTTGTTTGAAAAACTGCGGCTGCTGATTACCGGTGCTAGGTTGAATGGTAGGCGAAAAGTTTATCATTAGACGTAACACCGGTAACCGACGGGCACCATGAGTTGCATGTGGTGTGAACTGTGAGACATGCATTTCTAGACAAATATATGAAAAACGGTATTACTGTCGTTTTTTCATATTTTTATCTGGAAATGCATGTGCAGAGTACAGTAGTGTCTTCACTTGCATTAAAATGAATATAGGGGGAAAAATGTGTCTAGCCGAACCAATCCCTTGTACTTCTGATGTAAGCCAGCTGGTGGTTTACGTTGTGGCTCGACAGTGTTTTATGTAAAGCGCTGCCATTAAGATTGCAGGTACTGATAACAGGTAAGCAGCACTCGTACAACTGCAGGTAAACAGACTAAAACTGTGTTATAGCCCGGACCTGCCTGTGTGCAGCTATTACCACATGTACCGTCAATGCCGCACAGCCTTAATAGCAGCGCTTTACATAAAACGCTGTGCAGCCACAACGTAAACCACCAGCTGGCTTACATCAGAAGTACAAGGGACTGGTTCGGCTAGACACATTTTCCCCCTATATTTGAGCTATTGTGATCCCGGTCCCCGGTAGATTTCGCAGGTAGTTCTGGCGCAGCTTTAAATTTTGTCGAGTGGAAGACAGTATTATCGCTAAAACTTCTGTACGTACTGTTGTTGGAAATGTAAATGCTTGTTAATTTGTTTGTCCGGGGTGATTTAAGAATATTTTTCTGTTTTTTTTTCCTATGACGTGTCTGCTGAATTGAATTGGGTCTAACAAAGACTGTGTGCAGACGTCAAACGATTAAAACTTGAACTTAAAGGACCGGTCGCGTAGAAATCCAGCGAGGAAACAACATTTGTAAATGAATGCGAAAAACTGATTATAGCCCACAATAACCAACTATAACAAATGTGTGGATATCAAATAAATTGCCAATAACGCTCACGTCAATCTTTTGTTTAGATATTATGAAAAATCTTTTTTAAAAACAACATTTATTTTTTAGTTTAATTTTTTAAACTTTTTTCGAAAAACTACAATTTTTGATAAATATACCATGTTTTTAATGTTTTGCTCTTTAGTTATTAATTTTACAAATCTTTACTTAGAATTTTGAATTTAATATTTTAACATGCAGTTTTTCAAAATTTTATTCATTATCTTGAAAAGCAAATTAGTATAAGTTACTGAAAATGGCAGGAATACGCCTAATATCGGCTCGCCATATGTTCAAAGTCGGCTTGCCATAATCAGGTAACATTATCTTCGTGAGCGGCTGCTGGCTGGCGTAACGGTGGGCAGGAACTGCTGTCTCTACCTGCCGTTACAGTGGGCGGTTGACTGCTATGGTCTCACCGGGCGGGTGCCATCTAGTCGTAGCAATACTCTGTGAGCTAGCTTCTCTCTTACTTCGAAGTAAACCAGTAGTAAGTCGGCGACAATTTTATGCGAACACTTGCGCATCAGAAGAAAGGGAAGAGCACGACTCGTGCTCTTCCCTTCCTTCTGATGTACAAGTACAAGAATGTGGCTCATGCTGCACGAGTCACATTCTGCAGTTGTAGCAACTTGCAAGCGCTGTAAACTGCTCATATTATTTTGTAGTTTGTTAATAGAGCAGACACAGTCACAGACAGAGGAGGTTGTCGATAGTGCTATAACACTGACCATCCGCTGCGGTCAGCTCTGACCGTTGGCCAGCTGATAATGCCACCGCTCGTCTGACTCGACAGGAAACAGACAAGCAGTTAATCGTGCGCTGTTGAATAGTCAGCCGCGCCAGTGGTAAGCTTTTATGACAGCTTTCGCAAAAAATTCATAAGAATTAAACAGCACATACATTATCCGATATCAAGCTTGTTGCAAACAGAGAATCAAATATACAGTCAGCTTAGAAAAAATAGGTGGTTTCGAAAATCGAATTCATTCATCAAATCGGATTCATTCTATAAATTACTCCCCTTAGCTGACTCTCGCACGGAAGTCTCCGGGAGCGCTCCGGGAGCATCAAGGGGCATGGTTGGGTCAGAAGTGACGCTAAAGTTGCATCGCAATGCTGCCGTTCAAGCCGCTTCAGCCGACTCGGTCGACGCCTAAGCCACAACTGGCTAGAGCCCTCAGCCGGCTTAAGCAGCCGGCCTCCGGTCGGCTATGGCTTGCAAACCCTCAGCCGGCTCTCGGCCAGCCGCTGACATCTCTACATTCCACCATGGCATGATGGAATGCATGAGTCATACAGGAAGAGACGATTAAGCAGTGGGCTGTCAGCGTGATGCCAGGTGACCGGGCTTGGATGGGCATGCACGCAGCACAGAATCTGACACAAATGAGTAACCGTAGTTTGACTAATGCTTTCGTTGCCCTCCATCCTAGATCAACGCTATAACAACTGGCTTTTTCGAATAAAACTTTTTTTGTACCAATGGTGGATTACAAGAATAACAATTTAATAAGGAAGGTGCAAGGTAATTTTTCGGAGTTTAATATTGAAGCTTTACCAATATTCCGGTACTGAAGTTTAATATTGTAGCTTTACTGAAATTTTAGTTTTGGATAAGCCGAGGAATACTCCAAGAATATACGCATAACTGCGGTGACCAGTTTTTTGTTTTTACGCACAGCAGCCGGCAAAGCCTGTGTTTTAGCTTATTACGTACACAGATATAGGGTAGTTGGTTTTTTGGATGTTAGAACGGATAGTGGCTGTACTACCATAAATGGGTTCCTGTTACTAAACTCCTGCGTAATGATCAGTCCCTTTCAGTATATGTAGTTATGCAAATTATGCTGTATCAGAGTAGCTGCTTGCGCTGAAAAAGTTATGTTTTCAAAATTATAACAGGTGTGTACGGCAGCGTTACGGTATTACTGTTTTACAGCTGTGTGTTAGAATGGCTGCTGGAGGCGCGGACGGCATTATCCGTGGTCTGGGATTTCTTTTTTGTATCCACAATGTGGATGCCCAGTATTATCGTGACTGTAAGTGACGCTGATTTAGCAGAACTCCTTCGGTATTTCTTAAAAGTTGGTCGCTTTTTGCTGTTTATTCTAAGCAACCGATAATTTTTCAATGCTTTGTATTTGAAACATGGGGTGTTTTTGCCCAGCTTTGAGCGAACCGGGAAATTTCATGCGCCGGAACATCCATTCATCGTCCATATGTGCCTGGAGGCTCATTTAATCCATCAGAAATTCGTAAAACGTTACTCTGACAGTTGATTTCTCGCTACCTAATCTGAATTCCTCCGTAAATTTATTTACTTCTAATCTGTTTAAACGTTTTGTAAAAACAGTTAAACTGGAAACTTGAAAACTGCAAATTCTAACTGCTTCCGGTTGGTGAGCAAATGGCGATCTCCTGGTGTGGCAGCTTGATTTATCAGCTGGGGGGATTTCTGCAAGGTACTCACTTCTTTCGAAATCACTACTTCAGTATGCGAAATCAAAAACTTACCCTTTCAAGAACAAAAAATCCTTAAATTCAAAATGTTAAAAAAAATCGATGTACATTTTTTTGTGAAAATCAGGTCGATCTACACAGAACCATTGATTCCATTGACTTCGCGTGCGGCACACCAGAAAACCCGTGTAAAATTTAAATAAGCCACAGACGAGTGGGAGTGATACCCATTATACCGGTAAAGGAAACGCTATGGCTATGTTTTTACTTTTGAAGTAATGGGTGGTTAGGGAGTCTACCTTTTTTTAAGTTTTTTAAGTTAAGCTGTGAATTAATGTGGCCGTGGTTCGGCTTTCATTCTGATGGTTATTTTCTGCAAAATCTCTTTTAAACAATTGGTCACCCGTGATCAGCGCTTGCTGGGCAGTAATTCGCATCGGCCGTGCTATAAAGACTTTCAAAATGTAGCTTTCCCTATTTAACCTCTCGTTAGGCGTACTACACAAATGATACATTTTTCTTGTAGAAACCATTATTTAAACAATCGAAAGAAATGACAGTTAAAAGTTGCGGTGAATGAAAGGCAAAACATAAGCAAAGCGTCATAAAAAACGCGTTTATTGAGACTCCGACATATCTTACTTATCTTAGATATCGATTTACCTACCTTGTATCATGAAGCATTTTAATACGTTGAAAAACATAATATAAATTTAACAGATCCAGATCTGGAAAAGACATGCAATCAGAGCCTGGTATTAGACTGTCCGTTCACGTTCGACAGACGAGCGGGGACATTCCGCTATAACTACAGTACCTTAATGCTAGATCCAGAATGGATCCAGGGACAGAGACAGAAACAGAATCTATCCTGTGGAGTGAGCGAAACGATATGGTTCGCGAACTATGCGGAAACACAAAACGTCGCACCGTAATCGCTGACTTTTAATATTGAAAGTCTGGAGCACAGAAAATCAACAACCGATCGGCGCAGCTCGATCGTAAATCGTAGAGCCAATTCAACAGCGTGCGGCGCTGTGCAGCACGTGCTATGCCGCGCCCACTAACAAAACACAAGCCAATCAGCGGCGAGACACAACACAGACACGTAATCCTAAGGCGTAGCGCCTAGCGCCACGGGCGTGAACGCTAGTGAGGCCTCGTCTCACATGCCTCTGGGGGGATGCCGAGCTCCTGTGAGGCTGGACACACTCCCGAATCCACGAAAAGACGGTCGCCGGTGTCTGTGCGTGCTCAAAACATCAAATTCTCTTATTCCATTTTATCACATTAATTCCATAAGGCACAATTCCATTTAATACGATGTGAATAAAGAGATCCAATTAAAAAAAAATACTATCAATTAAACACAAAACAGATCAACAAAAGTATTAATCAAATGTAGACTAGGATCCTCCATTTCTGACTCGTAAAGGTCACAGGTCCTGTCCACCGTTTTCCGCACTTTGGCCCATTCCGCTCTGTTGAGCAAGTCCGCGCATCCGTAGTGCGACTTTTCATCACAATCCGCTTGAGAATCAGGTGCGTATCAAGTACGACTTAGGAATACTGCTTCAATCTTTGGAATATGGTGCGTATCATTCGTACGACTTCAGAATGAGATCCGATAAAGGTCATGGAGGGACGTCAATGAAGACAAGCGTAGTTCGCTTCCTCCCTAATAAAGGTCATCCTTTGGTGAGATGATCCGTTGAGATGTGCGACTCGTTTTGGGTTAATGGTCCCAAAGGTCATGCGACTTTTCATTCCATTACGGTGACTCCGTTGGGCAATTGATGATCCCAAAGGTCATCCGACTTTTCGTCAAACTTCCATTAAAGGTCATGGAGGAACTTAGCCAATTTTCTGCGGCTTTCAAGCACTTCTTCGCTTGCCTCCCTGGTAAAACTTGTAGTTTGACCTTGTAGTCGCACATCCAACTTCAGTATGCCTCGAGCGGCCAGAGTGCCGGCAAGTTTACCGTAGCATCTCTGATGGGGCCGGCTAGTTACCGCATTGAGTTTACCCCATGAAATTTCCACCTTAAATCTTTTATTCTTGTTCGCCGCTTGTGGCTAACATCCATTACTACGAGAAATCCGGCTTGGTTACCGTAGTTTTCTCGTTTTAATTTTGACACTGAATCGCTTGAAAAGAGTGCCGGCACAGTTTACCGTAACAACTCTAATGAGGCCGGCTGATTGCCGCATTAAGTTAACCTCATCAATGTTCCACCTGTTGTCTTTCTCTTTTTCGCCGCTTGTGGCCCCGTTTCGTATTCAAGAGATCCGGCTTGATTACCGTTGTTTCTCTTGTGCATTTATAACACTGAGTCGCTTAGAGAGGAGAGCCGGCTAACTGCCGTAACTGCTCCCTTGGGGCCGGCTTTATAGACCGAATCAATTTCAACCCCAATAGATATTCCACATGATTTCTTTTAGGCAATTCTGTGCTATAAACGCTGCAAACAACAAATACACAAATACAGTTTATGTTAACATGTCACGTGTCACGTCCTTTATACAACACCATTTTCATCTTTGTGACGTACCGACAAGTGCCGTAGACGTCCTTTTAATAGTGTGATCCTAAAGGTCAACACTATTCCATTTCATTTGAATCGCCCTCGCCATCTCTCGGCGGGCGTTTCTTAGCGCTTTCCGGTTGGTTTCGGTCGGAAGTTCGGTCAACTGGTTCCGTCGAGTCAACTTCCATGACCTTTGTCGGGTCGACTTCTCGTTGGCCACGACCTTTACCTTGGCGACTTCGCTTAACCGCCTCAAGTCGATGGCGTGCGTCATTTTCTTCTAGTCGCAGTCTTCGGTTATCGGGGTCGTTAGCTAGGCGACGTTGCACATCAGCGAGATTCTCCCTAAGCTGCTGGTTCCGTATACCGCGTCGTCCCATCTGGTTAGGAGCACGTTCCGGACGACGGTCACTTTTCTTCACCAAGAAGTCATTAATGTAAGTCTCGACTCCGTCTACCGGTTCCACATAGTCACTTCCTAGAGAATCTTTGATCTTATTGATCCTCTCTTCAACTTGGGAGGCATGGCGCTGTGTCAAGTTGCCCTTTTCCATCCGTGTCTTACATTTCTTCAGCGCCTTTCGAGCATTATGGGCTATGCTAATGTGTTCCAACGGTTGTCCCAATTTAGCGACATGAGCCCGGAAGAACGGTGGAATGTCGTCCTTCATAGTATTAGACACCAATTGATTCTGTGTCTTGTAATGTGCCAATCTCGCAGCGAAGACCTTTTGCCCCATCCTTTTTGCGGCATGGTCCTTCGGATCCACCTGTAATCCGATCGATGCTCTCGCAGCTAACAACTTGAAAGCCGGATTCACGTAGCGTAGAACAAACTGAGCCACATATTCCTGTCGTTCAGGATAATCGCGATAATAAAACTGTGTCATTCCGATTGGGTCAGTTGTATCCAATGGTACATCCAATAAGTTCAAATCCACTAAGCTGTGTAGCCCATTCTGTCGGATAGGGAGATAACAATCCCGTACCGAGTCGCGGTGGATGAATAACCGGCGAAAAAATCCTTGTTCCACTCCCTCTTTAATTTCTTTCGCGTAACCCGAGTCAAGTAAGAATTGACTCAGCTGTCGCAGCATTGTGCCAATTTTATTGGCTTCAACCGAATCCGGCTCAAGTCCAAAGTATCGACAAATTTCGACCGTTTGCTCATCAATATCAGTCGTCTTGTATTCCATGTCAATACTTTCTGGTTGTCGGTTATTAAATCTGGAGTGTAATCGCTGATCGCCTTGGCGACGATTATCCTGTTCGCCTTGACCTTCCGGTTCACGTCGGTCTGCTGATGCTGGCTGCGACGGTTCATTACTCGTCGATGAAGCCGGTTGAAGGTCACTATCCAGGATCACATTTCGTCGGTGAGTCACATTCTCTCGAGACGTGGTTTCGACAACTGAGCTGGTCCCTTCCATCGCATCGTCTTCTTGTACGACGCTCACAATTGGTTCCACTACGTGAACCACTGACTCCACCCGCTGATACTTTGGAGGTGAATCTTCCCGTTCAGTGCTTGATGACCTTTTGCTTGCGCCCGAGTCAAAGGTCGCATAAAATGCAGCTCTCTGTTGCCATCTTTTATCCTGTCGGTCGGGTGTTCGATTCCGCGTTTGTTCGCGTCTTTTGTCCCATGACCTTTCAGGTGTTGACATTCTGACATTGCGATTCCGGAATGCAACTCCCATCGGCACCTGATGCCCTTCCTTCTCAGGTTCTGTACGGAATGTCTCCGCACGCCGTTTCTCTTCACGTCCTCTTGTGGCTGCCAAGATCTTTGCCGTATCGATTTTCCTTTGAATACTCATTTCTGTAACTTCGTCTCCATGGCGCACCCATCCTCGTCCGCCGCGGTAATCTCGATCGCGAGAACGTTCGCGTGACCTTTCAGTTCGGTACTCACGTGTCCTTTCGCGAGAGTGTTCACGTGACCTTTCGCTCCGTCTTTCAGAAGTCCGTTCATGTTCACGTGAATGTCCGCGTGACCTTTCTCTATGCGGGGGCGACCGTGGCCGTATGAAGCCTTCATCCCGTTTGAAGCTTCTGAGTGCTTGCAGCACATCGCTTTCGGTTCGGCGAGATTTGCGTAGGTCATCCATACGTCTTTCGACTTCCTTCCTTATGTATGGTGCCGGCGCGAACCCATCTTGAAGTCGTTTCTTCTCCCGCAACAGCATTTTGAATATCTCGTCTGACATGGCAGCTGGATCTTTCGTTAACGTTTCAATTTGAATGATAAGCGACTGTCGTACGAGTTGTATTTCGTCTTCATTAAGGCTGGCCATGCCCGTGGGTGGAGCTAAACCCGACGTACTGGGCAACGCCTCTCGTGCGGCCTGTTCGCTTGCCCTCTTATTTTCCGCATTAATTTTCGCGCGGAGTTCGTCTTCCATTTGCTGAACTCGCATCTTCTCCTGGTCCTCTTCGAATTTCTTCCGATACGCGTCTGTCTGTGGACACTTCAACGGCTCCAAGGTGTCATCCCAACCAGGTTCGTTGTTCCGGATCGCTTCCCGGTAGCGATCCTCGAATAGCATTCGCTCTTCTACAGGGATGCTGCCGTAATTTCTTGCGCTTATGAGATTTCGAAAAACGTCCAAGTTCCCACGTTTGGCTTCCATGATCCCAACAAGCGTGACGGTATGTGGGTCTTCCAGCTTGTGAATACAGGTGTAGCAAGGGAATTTCTTATTAACCTTTTTGTTGTTCCTTAAGCAGTCCGGACATTTCGGATTATAGCCCGTAAACTGATCTATGTCTGCCGCCGTTCCCGTACGTTTAGGAGTGGCTTGACCTTTCTGTGCCATTTTTCCGCTTCAATCTGTAATTATAAAACAATCCGTCATATTAACTTCTCCACGTTAATCCTTTCCATTTCCTATCCATATCAAGGCTTTTCTATCATTTTTACGCCTATTCCGTTACTGAGCTGAGACTTTCCTAGCTCCTGCTGCCTTTTCTATCACTGTAACGTGGTGACCTTTCTCACGTTATCAGTACTCTCTGACTACTGTGACCTTTTCTATTAGTCCTAGTACTGCTTTCAGTTGACCTTTCGTAACACTTTTCTCTTTCGTTTTAAATTATTTTATGCTTTTTCTGTAATATGCAGGGTTCATTACTCGCTGCATATTACACCCGATTAGTTCACTCGGATTCTTTCGTCGATGGTTTATACGGCTTGAAATCGATTCGGCCATCTGGCTTAACATGAAGCACTTCATCTACGATCAAGGCTTCGACGGCATTCTTAATCCACTCTTTATCGCTTTCAATATTCAGCTCTCCCAATTCATAATTGACGGCCATGAAGTTCGAAAGGTCATTCCATGACGCGCCATTGGTACCGCCAATGGCGTCCAGAGCCACATCTGTGATGGCTATCTTCCAGGCCTCCAGTTCCATTTT